GTGTACTTTAATTTAATCACTCAAGTGTTTTATTCAGTATTCTTTTGCTAGCTTGATGTGTATTCTTAATTGAGTCAAAATGTGAACAAAAAAAAATTACCTTTCTAAAACTACTTTCAGTAAATTGTTTTCTGTGTGAATATTCAATTTCACTTTAACCCTTTCCATGCGATTTTTATTTTTTATTAAATAATCGTATTTGCTACGCCGATTTTATGCATTTGTACCCCCACAACTAATCGATCGACTAACTAAAAACTAATGATCCTCTGCTGCCCACTGACGGCTCGTTGGAAAGCTTATTTAAAGAGCTTGCAATTGGCGATTAAAAATGAAGTTTTTTTAAAAGTGGTGGTCTGAGTCACAAACCGGATAGAAAAAAGGCATTTTTTTTTCTTGGGAGTTGAAACTTCAAACCGTGATAAAAAATAGAAATATTCGCTAAATCCTTTACTGTTACCGCTTCGTGGTTGGCAAACAATAGCATAATATTGCTGTAGCAATTTCGTGATCCAACTCAAAATACTTTGGTAGATGGAAGGGATAATATGTCTTCTGTTACCACCCAAAAAACACCGAAATTTGCATAAATTTCAAAAACACTCCCTCGTTCCGCCGCAAATAAAATTCCCGTCATAAACGAAAGCGAGATTTACCGTCGCTTATGTTAATCTCGAAGAAGACTTCTTATCAATAAACTAAAACCCGGAAAAACTAGACCAACAGTTTGCGACCGATTGCTAAATAAAACAGTGGAGTACATCAACGTACCCGCCGCAATCTAGCGACTTTTGTCGTGGGTACGTATACGTGCCCACCGCACGGAAAGGGTTAAAAGGTTTGAAAAATCTTTTACATTTAAATAAAAAAAATTCCAAAATACTATTACAATTATTGTTAAGCGTTCGAGGGCCGCACTGGAAGTTCTCTGGGGCCGCGAGTTTGACATCCCTGGTCTAGATTGAAGTTGTCCAAAATATATAACATTATTTTATCATGAATCATGATTATACCCTTTTCTGAATTTCTTCTATAGTACTACCAAAATTTGATGAACCAAATATAACACAGGTGTAGTCAGTGAACCGTAATCCTCATTTTTCAAAGCTGTTTTAAGTATGTCTGGCATATTTTGTGCCTTTTTACAAAGAAGACCGCTTATGTAATCTTACGCTTTGGAATTTTTAGTTATTTCCCTCAAGCCCTGCAGGATGTAGGGGCCATACACAACTTTACCGGAGGGTCAAATGTCTTTGCATTCCTCCATAGGTTGTTCTTCTATTGCAAACATTTATGGAGTATTCTAATCATATTTCTTGGAATCAAACTGTCACTGATATGTCGCCAGACTTCTGATATCTCCCCTTCAGCTACAGTTGTCCTGTGAATAAATAATAGGAAATTGAGGTTAGACGAATAGTTGAAAGTTTTGTTTTATGTCGGCCTAATTTCTTGATTGATATACTCACTATTATTGCTATTGCCTCTTGTGCTGCAGGAGTCTCACAATTCTTAGACAGGTCTGTCCACAACTTTCACATCTGTAGGAGAGGAGATGTATTAATTTTCGTTAAGAATAAATAAAGCAGTCTATATGATTCAGAATGGAAAAGCTAATAAATCCAATATCTTATGTTTTTTGTAAAAAATGTTTTACTGAATTTGGTATATAAACTAACTAATAAAGGGGTTTAGTCAGAAAATTATAGGCATTCGTGGCAATAAGTATATATCCTCACTGATTAAAAAAATCTAAATGGAGGTGCATGAACTATTTGAAACCATAAGGGGTAAGTAAATATGCAATTTCGGCAAATGGGCAACTACGTACCGTACTGAATTAATAACTTCGTAGTATTTGACAAAAGCTGGCTTTCCCGCATGTACTTAACAGTGCGATGCCCGGGTGTGATATACAACAATAGTATTTACCTTACTTTTTTCCGATTTATTTTTACCTTCAATTTTCCACATATCATTAAAAACCACAACAATTGTCGAAGCAACCTCGAACACCATTCGTGCTATGCCTTGAAAGCAACACACATCCGCTCGTTTTCGTCTCGTCAAGTATGTGCATTGGAGCGTGCTATCGAATACGATCTTCGGCCAAAAATGCCGGAGTTGCGCATCATGTTGTTTCATGTCATTGGTCTGAACCTAGTATAATATGTCTGAACCTAGTCGTGCGTGACGGCGAATCCAACATCGGGACCAAATATCCAGAGTTACACAGGATTGATCTTACCACATAACTGAAACTAAAATCCGTGACAGCAATGGCATGAAACGTCAGTGGTGACAGTGAAGATTGGAAGAACCTCGGTTTGATTCCGAGGTTTAGCCCGAAACGTATAACAGCACGGGTGAGAGAGAGTTCATTTCATTTTGTCAAACCAAGAAAACAATAAATGCATACATATATAAATATCAAATGAACAGAAGTTTTCGATACATGATCAGGAGGCAACGATACGACCTTTGGAGGTCATTAGAGTCAGTTGCCACTAATGTGAACACACTGTCCAGTCACTTTGTTATCGCATGCACAATATTAAAAAATAACCAAACACATATAATTTAATATATTTATCCCGGCTATTGAAGTTTTAAGTAGAATACCGGTAACTATCTTCCCATTCCTTCCGGTGCAGACAAGAAAATCCCTAGTAAGCTAATCCATACACCACCGCCGCTTGCCAGCGAGCAAAGTGTATATAAACTATATTCACTTTGATGGCGAATTAGCAGCGGCACAGGGGATAAATAGAGTCAGAGGGTTCGGTAAGCATGACACAGCACACTTCAAAATGTTCATTCCGACAGCAGATTCATATCCGAACTTTTCTCTAATGCGATATCATCAATCAATTGTGTTCAGACTTTAGATTGGACATTGCTGGCTCTCCCACCATCTTTTTAAAATAGGCTGTCACCCAGATGGTGAATGCGATACTTGCCATGTACAAGAAACTGTAGCCAAATATTTACTATTTTGTTCAAAGTATATTAATGAGAGAAATACTTTGATAAATCATGCACATAGTTTAAATATTCCATTTCGAATTAAATACCTACTATCTGATTCAAAATTTATACCCTTTGTAATTAAGTTTGTTCATTCAACCCGCAGGTTAATATAGACATAGCTGATATACGTATGTAATTTTTTTATATTTCCGCGTGGCTTATATTTTACTCTAATGCCGTATCATACTCATTGAGGTGCGATTTATTAAAGTAGCTTGTTGCACTATTGTGTTCGACTTAAGTGGACCTGTTTTTGTTTTCAGTCTGGCGCACAAAATCCTGGTAGGCTAATTGAAATCGCCATAACTTTTAATAATAACAGACTTATGTACAGATCTGCAGATATTTTGTACCCAGTACTGGTATAGTCTATCTGTTTATTACTGTACCGGTACGGTGCAGGGTCTCCCGGTCTGGTACCGGTATAGTTTAGTACCACACGTACTTCTAGTTGACCTGGCTCAACAATTTTTGCATATGTCAATCCTAACCCCCCACCTAACTAGTCACCGAAAAATTATGTCATTTCTACGTCACAGTGGCGTAATAAGGCCCACCAAAGTATGTGGATGGTCATCCAAAACGCGCAGACGATCACCCGAAATCGAGCAAGCTATTTTTCTCGTTAGCTCGCCACAACGATCACGATAGGAGAGAGATCGCCGGCGTTGGAGAGTTCGTTATCGGCGGCGCATATGCCATTTCAGGCGATGTCAATTATACTTTGGCAAGCCCTACAGTACCGGTACGGCACACTATCCAAATTCCAAGAATTTCCCTCCATTTGGTTCAATAAAACAAACACTCCATGTGTCTCACAAACGAGGGGTGTCTGGCAGCACGTCAGATGCGTCATATCACGCCATGCTTGTCTCAATAATAATCTAAATTAATTGCGGCTGTCACATGACCAAAATTGCCGTTTTTTACTAAAAACTCTCAATGCCACGGTAGAAAATTTTTTCCTTCGGTAAATCCGATTATTTTTTCTAGAGGAATTCAATGATGACGTTATTAGATTGCGCTTTTTTGTAGTATTTTGCGCAACTTCAGTATACTGTATTTTTACCGATATTGAGGGACAACAATGTCCAGACGTCTCCCGAAGGAGGGGTATCTGAGCATCTGTAAAATGGGTTTCTCTGAAACGAGACAATGTCGCTCGATCTGTTTAGTGTGCCGTACTGCCCTATGACGCGATGGTGACGTCATAGTGACGTAATTTTTTGATAGCATAGTCAGGTAGGGGTTAGGAATAACATATGCAAAATTCATTATGCTACGCCCACTGGAAGTACTTGTGGTACTAAACTATACTAGACCCGTCTCATGTAGTTTCGTACCTAATGTACTTCTAGTCTCACAGGCGTACCATAACAATTTTTTCACGTGTCAATCCTAACCCCCACCTGACCACACGAGGTCCACACCATCCAAAAATTACATCACTACGACGTCACAGTAACGTAAGAGAGCCCTTCAAACTATGCGAACTGTCATCCAAGACGCGCAGACGAGAACCCGAAAACGAACAGCCATTTCTCTCGTTTTCTCGTCGCTACGATCCCGATAGGAGAGAGATCGCTGACGTTAGTCAGTTCTTTATCTTGGGCGCCGATGCCATTTCGGGCGATCGTACGAGTATTTGGCAAGCTCTATGACATGATTGTGACGTTGTAGTGACGTAATTTTTGGATGGTGTAGTCAGATGGGGGTTAGGATCGACATATCAAAAAATTGTTATGCTACGCCCACTAGAAGTACGTTAGGTACGAAACTACACGAGACCCGCATGGGCAGGTACCTCTGTACTTAGGATAGGATTTACCTATTTATCCCGGGGGGAGAAGAAAGCCGATAAGACGGCTTTATCATATGGCGAACCACGGCCTCTCGTCCGGTTACTAGGTCTAGGTCGGGTACGCAGGTATGGGATTAGTTTGCCAGTTACCGAAAGCATGGACTTGATGGTGGAGGAAGCCCTAACCGACACGCGGTTACGTGAACCACCCTACAGCGGCGAGGAGTATAGCAATCCTCTCGCACATGATCATCCCCGCATGGGATTTGAACCCACGAAAGGTAATCAGAGCAGCAGAGAGGAGGTGATGAAGGTATTCCTAACGCGGCACACCGCCGAGCCTTGAACTTATAAAATAATACGGTAATATTCCGCATTTGAACTAGCATCAGAATATGTAATTTACTCATGATTTGGCACTGAAGTACCGAACATTTTGATGGTGTTTTTACTCAGATGCAGTACGGTATCGTACCCTACTTTTGTTAACCCTAACAATCTGACTAACCCCTTTTTAACATACAGTACTAGCTTATACCTCCATACACTATATTGCATTAGGTAACATATTTCTGTATTGCAATATTAGTTAAGACTTGATGAACTTGGCCATAACTGCCTTAAACAAGTCGAGACAGTGGGGATCTCGAACTTCATGCTCATTTTTTATCAATAAAGTTATGTCAGAAACTGCTCCTATATCCCGGAAAAATCATTTTGATATCAGACTCCCTTATTGTTATGACCCGTTTAATCATGGACAGGATGAAGTCATAGATGTCAGAACACCCAATGAATATGCTGAGGATCACATACCAGGATCTATTAACTTACCTGTTCTTACAAATGATGAAAGACATGAGGTTGGCAAGGAATATGCAGACAACTCATTTTTGGCCAGACGAATTGGTGCATCATTGATATCCAACAATATAGCTACAATTATAAAGACTCATTTTTCTGATAAACCCAAGACCTATTCGTGTTTAATATATTGTTGGCGTGGAGGACAGCGTTCAAAAAGTCTATCAGTAGTCTTGAACATGATCGGATATGATGTCAAATTTCTGTCTGGAGGATACAAAACTTATAGGAAAGAAGTTATTTCACTGCTGTCACACATTCCATCTCAGTTTTCATACAATATTGTTTCAGGCATGACTGGATGTGGCAAAACTTTATTGCTCGACCAACTACGTGAAGCTGGTGAACAAGTATTAGATTTAGAGGCTTTGGCCAAGCATAAAGGTTCTGTACTTGGTATAAATTGTGATGATGATGATCAACCAAGTACTAAAATGTTTGAAAGCCAGTTATTACATCAGTTTTCAACTTTTGATTCGTCTCTTCCCGTATGGGTAGAAGCAGAAGGTAGAGTTATCGGTAACATACACATTCCTGACAGCGTATTTCAACATATACAAAAAAATGTTGCAAATGTTTATGTTATACAAGCTCCTTTGAATGCAAGAGTGAAATACCTTTTGTCCGAATACATGTATTGGACTAACAATCCAACAGAATTGAAAGACAATTTAGGAAGGCTTTCAAAACATAATCTCCCCTTGAAAAAGTGGTACAAGTTTATTGATGAAAGTAGGTTTGAAGACTTTGTTGCAGATATTTTGAAAATTCATTATGACCCCTCATACATAAGATCCAGAAAAAAGACGTTTAGTAGTAATTCATGTGATGAAATACTTGGGCTTGAAGATGTAACTGTCAAATCATTAGCAAATGTTGCTCAAAAATTATTGGTAGCTGCAGATGTTGGACAAGTAGCTTAAGCTGTGCCATAAACCTATTATTATAGGTTTATGCACCTCTCCTACTCGAAAAAATAATTGTCTCATTTAGACAAAAAAAATTATTTTTATGTATACCTGGTAAATCAAATTACTAGCTTGATATTGAGCAAATTGCAGAAGCGCAAGGAGCGTCAAAATTTTTTGTGTTTTTAAGATTGTGGAGCTTTTGAATTTTAAAATTAAATTTGTCTATAAAGTTGTAGATACACTACCTAAATGCTTGTGTTCATCAATTTGATTATTTGGCTATTAGAAATAAGGATAAATAGACAATATTCAACTTGTACTGTGGGATTTACCATGTGTTGGAAAATGACTTATTCATTCAATATTTATTTGTATAACTGCCATAAGAATAGTTTTGGCATCAGGCACACATGTGGGCATATACATGTGTCATATCTGAACTGTTTCTCTCGCTCTTCAAAAGAGCTATATTTTGAGAATTCAACAAACATTATTCCAAGCATGTTTAACAAGAATTGATAGAAGAGGTAACTCCTGGGCTTGGTCTGGATGGTCTGAAAAGTTATAATTTTCATCCTATTAAAATCGTTAATATAGTTGTTTCAAGAAAGCGACTCAAATATTGTCCATAATCAATATAACATAACGTTGAAATTATTTGCAATTTACATTTCATGAGCTCATCTTATATGAATACTTTTATTCAGTTCTTTAGATATGTCTTCTAAACCAAACTATTACTATAACTTGAGCATATATGGTAATGAAGAAAATTTAAACCCTTTGCAGGTTTCTTCAACACCGCGGGGTTGGTATTTCCCACTTGGGATTGGAGAGAAAATTGTATCACTGTTTTTATCATCAAAAAGCTCTGCGAAGAAGCTAACAACTAAAGGAGACCATTTGTTGGAATATGCATCTTCGCTAGAGGGTACAGTGAAACTGGGAATTATTGGTTCTTGTGCTTGTGTCGGCGGTGTTTTGTCCTTGATCTTGAGACCTAAAGGCAGTATACGAAAGCTCTTTTATCCATCGGCCTTGATCGCAACATCATCTGCAATCTGTTATCCATCTACTGCATATGCTGTGACCAAAGTGACTGCTGTGAATGTTTACAATGTTTCCAAAGCCACTAAAGACAAAATATACCAGTGGCAAAATGCTCGTAAACAAGTTGATAAGTTGCAACGAGAAGACTTAATTAGCGTTGACAAATCAATATCGGAGGTGGAAAACCATTTTGATACAGCACCTGTTATGGTAATGGCATTGTTACCATATTCAGATTCAGCAAATTATTTACCATACATACATTTTGGACACTAGACAAAACTAGGATATATATCTCGGATTTGACTGAATATAGTTTTGGTGGTATAAAAGTATATGTGTAAAATTAAGCATATTGGCCGACCATACAAAAGTGGCCCAAGCTAGGGAATTACCTGGTGCATTTCACCCCCTTGTGGTGTGGTGGAAGGTGGACTCTTGTTAAGTTGACTCATGGTAAGTAGTTGGTTACAGCTTCCCCTTATGGCCAACTCAATGCATCTGCAATGATTGCTGTATACCTATTCACAGACTCCCATTGCTTATTTACCGAATGAGAGGTTGTGTTTAGCATATTATCAAGCCCTTCTGTTCCTTCCAGGGGTGAATATCAAATTAAGCTATATAATCAAATGTCCTTATTGCTGGTATTCTAATTATATTGTGTCCTTCCAGATTATTCCAATATCTGATCATCTGCTGGAAAAAGAAACATCAAGTGATATTGAAGTAGATATACCCAAACAACCGAGTACCAACAGTGAAGAACCTCAGTTGGGAGTCACACTGCCATCGACTGGAGAATCAAACAGTATAATGAAGATCGATGATGATGATTCAACAAAGAAAGTTACAAAAGAATCTATTCAAGATATGGGACAATCTTCTAACGAAGACAGTGATCTTTATACTACTAGGTTGTAACGTAACAACCCTTCCTTTTTGTCTATATTAATATTTTGGTATGTGCTTTACTTCAAATATACCATCCTATCCATCCTGCCGTTTTAAATTGTAAAGGGTTGTTCCAGGACAAAACTAGTTTAAAATTTTATAAAACTGATATTTTTCAACTTTGATAATAATTCTTGTCACAAATATTTACCTATTAAAAGGTTAAAAATAGTAAATATGGTCGCTTTAATGGCTTTTCTAAGTTTGTAAAACTATACTCCTTTAACCAGTAAACAAAATATGCAATTTAGAATAAATGAACGGTTTTGTCGTAATAATGCCTTTATTTTCGAAAAAAGATAAGAAAAAGCAACATATTGCTATACTAATTTGTCTAAGCGGCAACGAATCTGAGAGTTTATATTCCTTACTATTTTGGATGTTTTTATTTTAGACCCGTTTATTTAAAAAAATGAAATGATAATTTTATTCATAATGTCTTATTTATTATTAACCCAGCTCTCGCGCCTGAAAAATTTTATTATGACGTCGAGTTTTATGGCGCTATGACATTTTATTATGACGGTAAGTTTTTATCGTGTTTTAAAATTCAACTTACTATCCAATCTACTTGGATGATTAGTTTACGTGTCCGCCTGTAACTAACATTACGTCTTTCACGCGATTTAAAAATTATTCACGGCGCCGTAGATACATTTTACAAAACTGGGAACAGCCGATTATGACGCCAAAATGGAAATTCGTAAGACAAGAGGAGCCTAGGCCTCGCAAATGACGTAGCCTAGGACCTCTAATCATTGATGACTATATCCGGCCCTGATTGTATTATAAATCCTTACATCACATCGTCTAAATCCAGCCCTGATTGTATTATAACTACTTCCATCGACGGGACATATCCTCAATACGTCAAGTTAGTTGTGTAATAATACGTTTGTATTATTTATTTATTCAAATTAAGATACATCAGTTCAACACAATCAAACGATAACAGTTTAACATTGAAGCACATTGACTAATATAGCTACAGACAGTACCAGATAACGACCGTCAAAAATCAAGAACTAATAGCTTTTATATGTCTATCGACTTGTGGTGTGATTGGCCTAAACCAGCGGTGCACAACCTGCGGCCGTCGCGAAAAAAAATGCGGCCGTCCACATACAAAATCCTATGAAAAAAAAGTTCAAAATATAGGATTTGGCGGCTATGCTGGCGTATTAGTCCGGCAGAATCGGGCCTTAACATTGTTTTGGGACATAAAGTTTTTTTTATTGTTTAGATATAATGTATAGGACATATATAATGATACCCAGGTGGGTGTGGAGTATATAATGTTGAGCAATTTTTTTTAAGTGGATTCAAAGTATTCGGTTCAAGATGACGCACATCCTGAACCCTAACCTGGTAAACATACAATGTTCAGGTTGTGCGCCATCTTGGTACGAATACTTCAGGAGCGCCTTTTTGTTAAAAACAATTATTTCATAACTACATGGTTTATTTTTGCATACATAGTAACATTGAATCTTCTTACAATGTCAGAAATTCAATTTGAGTAGAATAAATGGTAGTTTATTTCACTAATACAAGCCAAGATCCATCGACAGCATCTAGCCACTTTCTATTGCGCTCTTCAAACTACATTTGCGTTGCCGCGCGCATTTCGTTTTCCTAGTTTAAGCTTCGGGACTTGGGAAATATTTTATTAGTTGAATTGGATTGGAATATTTGACCTCGTCTTTCACTCCGAACAAGGCCATGTAAAATCATCCACTGGTAACTAAAGATGTGTAACGTGTTTTCTTTTGGAAGAACCGCAACCTTTCAGTGCTGCATTGACTTTGGCAAGATTAATATATCCTTGTGGAGATAGAAGGTATGCGTATGCGAAACCGAGATGTGCACCTGTTATGCCAACATAGTTGAGTCAAACGTTTTGAATACTAGTACATCACACGCATTTTCCTGCGTGCTTCGGTTGTACCAATGACATTAAACAACATGATGCGCAACTCCGGCATTTTTGTCCGAAGATCGTATTCGATAGCACGCTCCAATGCACATACTTGACGAGACGAAAACGAGCGGATGTGTGCTGCTTTCAAGGCGTAGCACGAATGGTGTTCGTGCCTGCTTTGACAGTTGTTGTCGATTTTAATGATATTTTGGAAAGTTAAGGTAAAAAGAAATCAGAAAAAGGTAAGGTAATCACTATTGTTGTATATCACGCCCGGGCATCGCACTGTTAAGTACATGTGGGAAAGCCAGCCTTTGTCAAATACTACGAGGTTATTAATTCAGTACGGTACGTAGTTGCCCATTTGCCGAAATTACATATTTACTTACCCCTTATGGTTTCAAATAGTTTATGCACCTCCAGTTCGATTTTTTTAATCAGTGAGGATATATACTCATTGTTGATTGCTGCTCATTGTAACATACCATTGCGCATTCACTTTTATTTCCGTATTGAATCAAAGTGTTAACAAGTTCACCGAACATTTCACTCATACCGGTCTATATTGTATAGTCTGATCTCTCAAGTATTTGGAGCCACAAATGCTTGTAATTTTCTGACTAAACCCTTTTATTAGTTGGTTTATATAGAGGACTTGCACGGGTCACGTGACCTTGTTACTGGACGGCAATAAAACAAAAACGTTCATTTGGCTCCTGTCAGTTGCAAGTCGGATTATACGTTTCCGTTTTGTTTGGCCGTTGAAAATGGTTATTTCGTATTGTTCCGCTGGCTGTACGTATAGTATAGACAACGAAATGGATCTTCAGCTATATTCCACTGTTTTCAAAAGATCCGGAACGTCGCGCAATGTGGATATCATCTATTGGCAGGACTGCTTGGTGTCAAGTCCAGAAGCCATCTTACTTGTGTTTCACTGTTTGCGGACAGCACTTCGTTGATGGTGAGTCATGATGTGCCGTTATCAATTTTTTAAAATATTCATAAGCTCCCTCATTTCAATGGAAAGCAGATAACAAACTACTGTTATTGGGAGGCTTAGGCGTAGGCCTGCTTGCAGACTTGACTCGTGTAAGGGCCTACTTGCAGACTTGACTCGTGTAAGGTATTAATCAATAATTGCCATAAGGTATTGTTTCCCTAGTTAGCTAGTAATCTATTAGTAAGTGTGAAAATTTGAATAGATAACTAAAGTTTAACGCCAGTGCAAATGCAAAAAATAACCAGAATTCAATTGAATTCTCTATCTGAGAATACGCTCGCCACCACATCTCTGATCCCCCTTGGAGTTTCACAGGTTCCAATCCCATGCGGGGATAGTTATGTGCGAGGGGATTGCAGCTCTCCTCCCACTAAGGGTGGTTCACACGACCGCTGGTCGATTACGACATCCCCCACCATCAAGTCCATGCTTCTAAAACAAATAACTGGCTAACTAATCCCGACATAGAATGGTAATCGTACGATGTTGCACCTTGCAATCTGTCCCCAACCACAGATAAATTCTATCCTAAAATCTAACCACATTGGTAGGCATAGTTGCGTTTTAAATTGAAAGAAATCTTCATTAATGGTCAGAAGGTGTTGTCTGATTGTTTTGTTAGTTAGCAGGTAATTTATTACTGATCTGATACACAAACTTGGCACTGTCAAATGATGATTAGTGTTTAATTTATTTTCAGGAAAAAGGGAAGATAACCCATTATCAGCTGCTTACATGTCCCATCGATATTTGAATTTTCGCCATCCCCAGAGAAGAAGAGAATAGTTAAAAAAAGGAGGATTTTGAAGAAAGGCAAAAGGCAGGACCATTTCAACAAATTCTGTTAACTTGTATGCGTTGCAATATTAATTCGCAGTTGTTAGCATAAACATTTAATGTGTCTTTCGACTAGACCTACCACACTTTAAAAAAAGCCGCCTACACCCCTTTTCACTAGAACCATAATACTGTAAAATATTTGATAGAAATTACCCCCGAGGCATCATCTTTCATTTGAAAGGGCTGTGGAGGCAGATACATTTTTTACTCTAAATTATGGAATGTTACTTCCAGGTTATCTTATCCTTGCTTATAGATATCTTGAGGTTAGTGACTCCAACTGACCCATGCATGCCACACTGAAAATTCTCTTGTGTACCCATAAAATAAGGCTGTTGGAGCCTTCAGACCTTGAAAACAGTCGAATCTGAGCACGATGGATTCATGTGAAACACGTAATATGCATTTAGAGGCAAAAATATCCCATCCTGTGCAGCACCGATCCACAACCTCCTGCCTGTGGAATCAAAACATTAGACAAATTGGTGTACTGTGCACATTCACAAATTTTTGCGAATCAAGTGTGCCTTTTGACTAAAGAAAATTTAGCATTGAAATGGTCAATCTCAATATCAACCTAGTATCTGCAGATAAAACCAATTGTTTTTTAAAAATACATTTTTGATGTGCTTTATTTTTCAAATATAATTTATAAAATTATAATTACTGTAAAGTGTGTGATACATTTGGTACCATGAATACTATTGCAAATTAGCTTGGGTTACACCCCTCTCAAATAAAAGTTTAGACTCTTAAGTCGTATCCAATAATATTCTTTAAACAAAAGGTTGCGGCTAGCCGGCTACCCATCAGAATTTCCTTTCAGATCACAAAGTCGCAATATTACGCCTCGCTTAAGTTTCATTGGCAACTGTATCTGGTTGTAGTATCGGTGTCCAACGTAGACTGAAACCTTCACGACCAGACCCACCGAAACAATTTTTTTTCTTGATAGGGTCGTCTTGAAGTTGATTTCGTTAAAGCACAATGGACACTTTATCTCCACCAATCCACAGTAATGACAAGTTACTTTGTCATTACGATAAGCATCAATAAATGGATACTGAGGATGTATTATCAAGTCACGCAAGCTGAGGTCTTGTGCCACTGTGGTCTTGTTGCAACTTATACTTTGCCATCCATCTATTCCATGGTCGCACCCATATCTGTAAGATAATGGATACAGATAAGAGTTTTCATAAAATCTAACGATCAAGGAGTGTGAAATTTATGTCCATATCCCACCACAGCCACTAGTCGTAAATGAATTTGATTCCGGGTAGCATATCTTTTTTACCAATGACAATAAAAAGACATTTTGAATCAGTTGTACAAGCACCATTAGGATAGGATTTATCTGGGGGGGAGCCAGTTATTTGTTTTCAAGCATGGACTTGGATGGTGGGGAATGGTCGTAAACGATCAGCGGTCATGTGAACCACCCTCGGTGGGAGTGGAGCTGCAATCCTCTAGCACATAACTATCCCCGCATGGGATTGAAACCTGTGAAACTACCAGGGTGATCAGAGATGCGGTGGCGAGCGTATTCCTAGATGGCGAATTCAATTGAATTCTGGTTATTTTTTGCATGACCCCTGGTGTTAAACGTTAGTTATCTATTCAACCTTTCACACTTAGTAAAAGATTACCTGCTAATTAGGGAAACAATACCTTACAGCAATTGATTATTAATTCCTTACTGTCTTACACAAGTCAAGTCTGCAACTGCAAGTAGAACCACGCCTAGGCCTACTAATAACAGTAGTTGAATATTAGATTAATTCCTTACTGTCTTACACAAGTCAAGTCTGCAACTAGGCCTACTAATAACAGTAGTTGATTATTAGATTATTAATTCCTTACTGCAGTACTGTCTTACACAAGTCAAGTCTGCAACTGCAAGTAGGCCCACGCCTAGGCCTACTGATAACAGTAGTTTGTCATCTGCTTTCCATTGAAATGAGGGAGCTTGTGAATATTTAAAGAAATTGATAACGGCACACTATCACTCACCATCAACGAAGTGCTGTCCGCAAACAGTGAAACACAAGTAAGGTGGCTTCTGGACTTGCAGACTTGACACCAAGCAGTTCTGCCAATAGGCAATAGATGATATCCACATTGCGCGACGTTCAGGATCTTTTGAAATCAGTGGAATATTACTGAAGATTCATTTCGTTGTCTATACTATACGTACAGCCAACAGAACAACGAAATAACCCTTTTCAACAGCCAAACAAAACGCAAACGTATAATCCGACTTGCAACTGACAGGAGCCAAATGGACGTTTTTGTTTTATTGCCGTCCAGTAACAATGTCACGTGACCCGTGCAAGTCCTCTATACTAAATTCAGTAAAATATTTTTTACATAAAACATGAGATATTGGATTTATTAGCTTTTCCAATCTAAATCATATAGACTGCTTTATTTATTCTTAAACGAAAATTAATAAATCTCCTCTCTTTCTTCAGATGTGAAAGTTGTGGACAAACCTGTCTAAGCATTGCGAGACTCTTGCAGCACAAGAGGCAATAGCAGAAATAGTAAGTATATCAATCAAGAAATTAAGCCGACATAAAGCAAAACTTTCAACTATTCGTCTAATCTCAATTTCCTATTATTTATTCACAGGACAACTATAGCAGAAGGGGAGATATCAGAAGTCTGGCGACATATCAGTGACAGTGTGATTTCAAGAAATATAATTAGAGTACTCCATAAATGTTTGCAATAGAAAAACAACCTATGGAGGCATGCAAAGACATTTGACCCTCCGGTAGAGTTGTGTATGGCCCCCACATCCTGCAGGGCTTGAGGAAAATAACTAAAAATTCCAAAGCGTAAGATTGCATAAGCGGTCTTATTTGTAAAAAGGCACAAAACACGCCAGACAAACTTAAAACAGCTTTGGAAAATGAGGATTACGGGTAACTCACTGCACCTGTATTATATTTGGTTCATCAACTTTTGGTAGTACTATAGAAGAAATTCCGGAAGGGTTATAATCATCATTCATGATAAAATACTATCATACATTTTTGGACAACTTCAATCTAGACCAGGGATCTCAAACTCGCGGCCCCAGAGAACTTCCAGTGCGGCCCTCGAACGCTTAACAATAATTGTAATAGTATTTTGGAAGTTTTTTTTTATCTAAATGTAATAGATTTTTCAAATCTTTTAAAGTGAAATTGATTATTCACACATAAAACAATTTACTGAAAGTAGTTTTGGAATATTAATTTTTTTTGTTCACATTTTGACCCAATTAAGAAACACATCAAGCTAGCAAAACAATACTTGAATAAAACACTTGAGTGATTAAATTAAACGCAAATTACATGAAGAAGGTGGCATTTTCGAAGAAAATGAGGGTTGCAGCATTTCTGCTTTTTACAAAATTTTGAAGCACATTGTTTAATTTGTCATATTTCCATCAATACAATAAAAAACACAATAAGCTCAGCAGTCAATATGACAAATTCGAAGACCAACTTCGAACAGAAAATTTCCATGTGTTTGTATATTAATATAATTAAACGACTTAGTAACTGAAAATCAGTATCAATAATAATTCAAGCAATCCTATGCCACGCAATGTGGTGCAAAATGTCTTGTCGAAAAAATCTGTCATTTGTTTTTTTACTGATCAATACATTAAATGATAAAAGTAACATTTTTGCATTAATGGAATTAATTAAACATTCGCAAAGATCCAGATTAACCCATGATCATGTGGCCTCGTTAGTTAGAGTTGGTACTATAAAATCATTTCAGCCTGGCCTTAGTATGCTGGTGACACAAAAAGATGCCAAACGTCAGGACAAATGGAATTATTAAAAAATTTAGTTTATACTGTAGTATTTTTGTTAATTTTAGGTTCATATATTTAGAATAAGTTATTTTTAGTGTATGTATTATTCTTTCCTTATTCAAAGCTTGTTCAAAAATGATTTTGACGGTTGTACATAGAATTTTATGATTTTTTATAATAAAATAATTTTTATAAATAAATTTTTTATAATAAAAATACAGTAACTTGCAAATGTTGCAATAATAGTGGAATGCAAGTATTAATATGTAATTGCATTTGAAATTGAAGAAAATAATAAAACTTAATCCAACTGTTTAGTTGCATCACAATATATGTCACAAACTAAAACTATCTTAAAAATATCTTCTAAGTATACATTATCAAAAACTGTTTGCGGCTCTTTTTACAATTTCCAAAATGCAATGCCGCTCTGGAAAACCCATGAGTTTGACACCACTGATTTATTCTAGACGATTCCAGCATTGCTTTGGGAAATAATATCACTTCAATTAAATTGAAATAATCTCGCTATATTAAATACAAAATCGTTGCTATCATGAAGGTAAACCAATTCAGCCACTCGAAATATATTGGCCTTCACAAAGCAATGGAGGCAAAATTGAGAGTTCATGAGCTATGAACATTTGTTCTTTTCTTTGTCTATGTGATGGCCATACGTAACTTTAACTTGTATTTTCTGTCGTGATGTATTATCTCAATGTGCCAAACTATTAATTAGTGTGCATATTTTGCTTCCAGATGACATAAATGTATTGTCTTGTTCATTACCTCAGTAATAAGTAGTATTGACAAGAAAAAGGTACCAGTAAATTAGGTAAAATTTTTTTTAACTCTTTGTTATAATCAGAATTCACAATCAATAGGAATTATAAACATCCAACAATCAATGAGAATTATATGCGAAATCCCTCAGAATAAATTTGTCTAAAATCGGAGGAAGGCAAAAAATATAGGTAGTTTCCATCCACACAAACATTTCAAGAAGACTTGCTCGAGCCAAACTAAATGAGCATCGTCAGGTGATCGGTAAGGCTGCAAGTTGAAATCAGCCCTGCAACCTCCTGCATAAAAGATAATAATAATTGGTGGGCTATGAGCTAAATTCCTAAATTTAAACAAACCTATCTACGATGCATTATGTACCAGCAATGTTACCTACGATTAACTGAATATGTAATATGTCTAATAAATTCACCTGCAAAAGCAAGTTCGATGGGTGCAAACTTTGTGTTATGGAATTGTATCACAGCACAGTTTTGTATGACACCCTCTTTAAATGAAATTTCAATGATTAAGCGCAAACATTAAAATTACTAACTTTGAACTTTGTCATTATCTGCAAAATGTTCCACATAAATCTTTCCGCTATCGCGTTTGTAATCTTCTCTGATAAAAAAAAACGTCCATGATGTCCAGAATTGCTCTTTACAGCTTGCCTGCCATTCCAGCTTTCCAAGTGAGCAAAACTTCTTAGATATAGAGATTATTTTCTTTCGTTACAGGCGCAAAAAGGCAGGTACTACACGTAAAAAAGACGCCGAGTAGCAAAAGCGAGCGGAAAACGGACGCGAAAGGCGGCGAGAAATATGTGCATTAGAGCGTATCAGGAAATACAATCTTTTGCCTGTAGTCTTATGGAGTGACGTCAGAGTTGCCTATCATGTTGTTTCATGTCATTGGTTGTACGTAGTGTTGGCGCAGAGCCTTGATTAAATCTTAATTGTGGAGCGCAGACTCTGCCCACATAGGGTGTACGGATGGCCAATACCAATACTCTCGACGACCAGGTTGCACTCCCAAAAAGACGCGTACTATCACTGTATCAGCATAAGATGTTTTATTTTCTTGTGATGTGTTGCAAACAGTGTAAAACAATACGAACAAACAACGTAGTACGAACAACAATACAGCAGTACGAACAACAATACAGCAGTACGTCAGTACGTACAGATGCACAATACAAAGAAGTACGGTTTTCTGAAATAACATAAATATAATAAATACACAAATAATAACAAGATCGGGGCAGTAACGTATCAGTAGGCCTATACTATTGTAAACAAACCCTAAATATCTTTGTTACGTCACACAATCACGTAATGACCAAATATGGCATCACTAACGGTTATAATAAATAAACACACAAATTACCTCTGCCGGCACTTTCAAGGCCTGACAGGAAAACAAATACAAACCATGTAAAACTTAGAATACAAAACTATATGTATAAACTTACTTGACGTTGTGTCCTCAAGGGTCGTCAAGCAGTAACTTGAACGTTAAATCACAATAACTTGACTGAATTACTTAGCAATATTACAATAACAACTGTGAGGAATATCAATAATACACTATTATTAGCAGTACAAATAAATACCGTACATTTTACTAACACTACAAGCCTAAGTCGTTCACTAATTAATCAATTATAAACCCTAAAATAACACTCTCAGACCGACGTCAAAACAGCCATCAGCCAGAATCCTGCAGCGCGCGCGGTCGCCTGACGTCACTTCCACAAAGTCATTGTGGTGCAATAACCAAGCATTCGATAAGCTGGTCCATGGCGCCAACTTGCGGGAGAAATGATTTTACTTCAAGATATTGGCGGTAACACCCTGGCCCCTTGGAAATTGAAAATTTGTGTCCACATACACCAATTTACAGATTTCCACACACACATTCAAACAAATAACAAACACACAAAATATAACGAAATTGTGTCATGCAAAAGAAATTTCATGCAAAAACTAACTTACTAATTACAAGCATGCAATAAAATAAGCTTTGTAACAGGTCTTTGAAGAACAGAATATTGGGTCTGGACACTAACAGATCGAACAATGCCCTCCTTTCCGGGGAAAGTCTTGATAACTCTACCCAACAGCCAGGTGTTTCGTGGCAAGTTATGATCCACAATGAGAACGATATCGTTCACACACATATTACGTTGAGGTTTGTTCCACTTTTTTCTTTGTTGTAAAAGAGGTAGATATTCCTTTCTCCATCTTTGCCAGAAAATATCTGCCAAATACTGGACCTGTTTCCAGCGTTTCCTCGAATACACATCCTTTTGTTCAAACAAACCTGGTGGAAGAACAGGTTCTTGTTTTAATAACAATAATGAATTTGGAGACAGTGGTGTCAAGTCATTTACATCACTTGAAACTGTTGTAATTGGACGTCCATTTATAATAGATTCACATTCACACATTAAAGTGGATAGAGCCTCATCGCTTAAAGTTTGTTCCCGACAAATTGAATTAAATACCTTTCTGACAGTCCGAATTTGTCTTTCAAAAACACCACCATGATGTGAAGCGGAAGGTGTTTGAAATATCCATTTTATATTTTTCTGAAGCAGGAAATCATGAACTTGCTTCTGATTCCAACATTTGATTGCTTGTCGAAGTTCATGTTCAGCGGCCACAAAATTTGAACCATTGTCACTTCGAATTTCCAACACTTGACCTCTACGAGAAACAAATCTTCTTAAAGCCATTATAAATGAGTTCATGTCCAAATTTTGAGCTATTTCCACATGCACTGCACGTGTGGTTAAACATGTGAAAAGAACCCCATATCGCTTAACATCACTTCTTCCTTGACGAATGAAGAAAGGCCCAAAACAGTCCAAAGCCACATATGAAAATGGTGGTTTGTCAGGAGTTACTCTATCAACAGGCAAATCCGACATTTCTTGATATTCGGGTTTACGCTGCTTTCTTCTGCACAAGACACAATTGTTGATAATTTTCCTCACTAATGAAGTCCCCTTTACAATCCAATAGTTCTGCCTAATTTCTGCAAGAACATATTCTCTTCCATTGTGTCCAGTTGTCCTATGAATATAATCAACCATCAGGGATGCAATAAGACTGTCTTTTGGTATAACAATTGGATGCTTAGCATCATAACTAATTGGAGCATCTTTGATTCTGCCTCCAACACGAAGAATATCATTTTTCAAGAAAGGACGCAGCGAAATCAAAGTGCTTGATTTTGGAATTTCTTGATTATTTGACAGCAAACGTATTTCTTCGCAGAAATATTTTGATTGTTCATATTTGATTATCTCCAATTCCGCATTTCGTAGTTCAGTAACAGAAAGTGGTTGAATACGATTTTCTTTTGGCAGATTAGAAGGCAATTCATTTGCATTAAGTTTTGAAAGCAACATATTTTTACCTCGTAATATCCAGGCAAAAGCTTTCTTCAGACGAAACCAGTCTGAATATTTTGAAATTATACGATCTAGGACCGATTTTTCACTTGCTGTATTTGAAAAACATTGTATCGATTCTTTTTTCACCTCAAGATTATCCGTAGAGCAATCGTTCATAAAATCGGGCTGTAAAGGCCATTCCTCAGCAGCTTGCCACAAAAAATCAGGACCAGATTTCCAGTATTGGCAATTCAAAAACGCATCAACTGAAAGTCCCCTTGAGGCAACATCTGCTGGGTTCAGTTGTGAAGGCACATAACGCCATTGTTCAATTTCAGAGGTTTCTTTTATCAAGTTTACTCTATTGGCCACAAAAGTTTTAAATACTTTATCTGTATTTGCCAGGTATCGAAGAACAGTTGTACTGTCGGTCCAAAAATATGAAGCCGAAATTGGAAGTTTGAGTTCCTTTTTTAGAAATGCATCATTTTTAGCAGAAATTGTTGCTGCACAAAGTTCGAGTCGCGGTATTGTTGAACCATTTAAAGGGACAAGTCTGGTTTTTCCACTTATAATAGCACAATGAACTTGTCCATACATATTTGTAATTCTAATGTAGGACACAGCACCATATGACTTTTCAGACGCATCTGAAAAATGATGAAGTTGTATATCGATTATTTTACCAAAATCTTTTGGTGTATAGCATCTCGGTACATTGAAATTCTTTAATTTTGGTAAATCAGAAAGCCATTTTGACCATTCTTTCTTCAATTCTGGTGGAATAGGATCGTCCCAATCAAATTTCTTCCTACATAAATCTTGAATCAAAACTTTCATAGGTTGAAGAACTGGCTGACCGAAACCAAGAGGATCAAAAATAGAATTAATAGTTGACAACAATCCTCTTTTTGTAGCAGGTTTATCCTTATGTTTGACACGAAAGCACAAAGTATCTTGTTCTACATCCCAAATCATACCAAGCGCCTTTTCCACTGGCAGGTCATCCACTGAGAGATCCAATCCTTTGACATCTTTCGCACGATGCTCTTCCGGAATTGACAGCAAAACAGCTCGATCATTACTGACCCATTTTGTTATTTCAAATCCACCTTTGGATACTAAATTTCTTACATTCTTGACATGATCTATAGCTTCCTCAGCATTGGGTTTTGAATCCAAAAAATCATCAACGTAGAAAGCATCATAAACAGCATTCACAGTGCTTTCACTAAAATCTTCTTTATTATCTTCAGCAGTCCTTTTCAAGGCAAAATTGGCACAACTGGGTGAGCAGATTGTACCAAAAAGAAATGAAGTCATTCTAAAGCAGGCCACAGGTTGTGAGACATCGCCATTGCGCCACCAAAGAAATCTCAAAAAATCTCTATGAGGTTCGGAAACTTTCACTTGGTGAAACATTGCTCGGATGTCTCCTTGAATTGCAACGGATTGTTTTCGAAAACGAGCCAGAACACCAACCAAATTATTTGCAAGGTCTGGCCCCTGTAACAGAACGTCATTTAAACACAGTCCAGAAAATTTAGCTGAACAATCAAATACAACACGAAGGCTTTTCTTTTCTGGGTGGCGCACTCCGTGGTGACTAAGATACCAAGTTTTACCATCACATTCCCCTGAATTATTGACCTTCTCTGCATAACCATTATCAATCATATCCTTTACAAAACTTTTGTATTCATTGTAGAAATCCGGTTCTTTTAAAAATCGTCTTCTGAGATATTCTAATCTTTGTTCTGCATGACTTTTGTTTTTTGGCAAAATCACATTAGGATTTTTAAATGGAAGATCAATTTCATAATGTCCATCCGTTGTCAAATGAATAGACTTGTTCACTCTTTCCATGAAAATTTCTTGATTAGGGGAAAATTCTGATTTTTCGTTTTGTATCGAATCGACCACTTCAGTGCACATTTTACAAAGTGGGTGCACACTAGATTTGACAAAAAAATCAGAATTTGATCTTTCAACTTTCTTAGTTTTGGGAGGACAGCTAATCATCCATCCAGCAGGGCATCTCACAGCAAAATATTCATCTGGCCCGTGCACAATTTCCAATGGCTTATGTAGGGCAAAATTATCTTTTCCTATCAGCAAGCCAACTTCTTGATTTAGCCTGGGAATTACCACATCCTTGAATTCATGAAACTGATCCACATCCTTCTGTGTTGGAATATTTGAAACATCAATATCGATACATTTATTAGAAAACAGTTGACCCAATGCAATAAAATCAGATTCATCAAAATGGGATAGCTCAATGTCGTTAATAACAGAGCTTTTCTTTTGTTCAGTCACATTTGAAATAGTACGAATATTTAAATTTGTTTCATGACCAGTGGCATTCAATCTTTGCATGAGCGCTTCACTCATAAAAGAACATGTTGAGCCAGTGTCGAAAAAGGCATTTGTTAACACAACATCATTCTGTCCCTTCACACGTACCTTGACTGGAATTACGTTTAATAACACTCTCGCTTCACTGGCAGAATTCACAAACGCACTAAATTTATTTGCTTCTCTGTTTTCATTAGTATTTTTTGATACAGAAGCATCACCAGCAGGCTTATGATGTTCAGATTGATCATCCGCATTTACATTATCTGGGGGGTGCAAAAGCGTAGTATGCTTTCGCTTACAATTCGGAACTCTGCATGGGTTCTCGCGTCTGCACTGCCTTGACCAGTGCCCTTTTTGTAGACAAGAAAAACATAATTTCAAATCCCTCACAAATCTTTCTCTGTCCGCATGTTTCATGTTCCTAAACTCTTGACATTGATTCAGGAAATGAGTGCCACTGCATTTAAAACATTTAGGAATTGGTTTGTCAGCAGCGGAGATAGTTGTAGTAAAATATGACTTGTGTTGCTTCATTGGTTTATTTGCAATTTCTCTGGGTTTTTGGACATTATTTGTTTCAGGATTAGAAAGGTTTGACAATTCCCTCGTTTTCTTACGCACATATGACACAAGATGTGCTAAGGTCAAGTCCTTTTCTTTCACATGAAGAGTATCATCCACCAAAGTTCGCCAACCTGGCCTCCAAACTGATGGCATTCTCCACGATATTTTATCAATGATCATCAAAGACAGACCTTTATTTTTAATACCTTTTAATGTATTTTCACATGCAATTAATTCAGCAGCAAACATTGTTAAAGCTTCCAGGTCATTGGTTCTAAGTTGCGGGCCCTCTATAATAGAATTCAAACATGCCTGTTCAATTTGCAATTTATGGCCATAAGTTTCTGCGAGTAATTTCAACGCTTCATCATAGCATGCCGAACCTTTATGTTGGCATCCTTTTACTAGAGCACGAGCAGTGCCTCTTGTGTATTGTAACAGATAAACAAATCTTTGCTTTGCATTCTGCACCTTTGCAGCAATAACGGTATCAAAAATGTCAATAAAGTCGTGGTATTCACCAGGATCACCAGAAAAAACTGGAGGTTCTGTTGGAGGTAAATTTGCTTGCTGGGGCACATAAATCACTTGTGGTGATAATTGTATTGGTACCTGGCTTGGCTGGGGTATATTAATTTGAGTAGCTTCTTCATTAATAATTGGCATTGTCAGTCTATTGATGTCACCATTGGCTGCTTGTGACATGTTATAAAGTGGAATTGTACCTGTATTTGAACTAAAATTGCTAGCAAAATCAGTGCAAGAATAAGTCATGCAATTACTGGTAGGTGCATTATTACCGGTAGTAGAAGTAGCAAAATAACTTGAGCTAGCAGTACAGGTAGGGCATGCAGCATATGAACTCATACGAATAGGCTGAATTTGATTTGCAAGCATATTTACTGGATTCACAGCAGAGTCTATTTGTTTAGGAAGTATTATTGAATTATTAGCATTATGGTTATTAGCATTATGAGATGCAGTACTAGCCACAACCATGCATTCATTCACACCAAGCACACCGGTTGTATGTGGACAACAAATTTCAAAACCAGGGGAGGATGAATAAACCGACATACCTTGATCCCCACCAATAGCAGGCACGGAATGCGAAACATCCCCCAATGAGTAACTTGGCTGTTTTGCAGCTGACGTGAACATGGTCTGAGATGGAACAGTAGATTGAACAATATTTTCAATTGTAGCAGCAGGGGAATTAGATCGTATTTCAGGTGGAGATACATTCTGTATCTCGTTACTATTTGACACATTTGTACAGGTGCCAAGTAACAGTTCACTTCCATTTGTATCGGAAATAACAGGAAGGTCAAAAGGTAACCCCCTCTCTGCCATCGCTTCCGTAAAGTCAGCATCCAATTCTAACTGGGTGCGCTGATCTCTACGTTTTAGTTCATTTAGTTCTCTTTCTTTGCGTTTTTGGAAACTTTCCTTTTCGAGTTGACGCTTTCTTCTAAGCTCTTCTTCTTCTTGTCGCATCCTCTCATTCCACTCTGCTTCTTCTTGTGAAATGGAGTCCTGTAATTGAATCTTTTCTAGTTCAATCTTTTTTTGTTGATTTAATTTTCTTGCTCTGTAAATATCTTGGATTTGAGAGTCACTGTAAGTGGATACCCGTGACATCACTGATGACGCGGTTCGGATGCTTCGAGATCGTAAAGAACCGCCAATACTTAATACTTTTGATTTTTGTGAAACACTGTCACGTGATTGAGCACTATATTTTGATTTCGCTCTTGTGGTCATTTTGTGAACATTCATTTGCTTATCTTCGGCATTGAAAGATGCTACGGACTTCCCTTGTTTATTTGTTTCATTTTCTATTTGGGAAACCGAATCCACATCAGACGATCTTCGGAAAAGGTCATGAATCGAGCCACTACCGGAACCAACAGGAGATAATATTTTTTCAGCAGCAACAACTTCAGGGTCAACTGCAGGCTCTTTCATTTGTGATGACAGTGTTATTGGAACTTGGGACGGTTCTAAATCATCAGATTCTTGTTCTAGCACCATTTCTTGTGCATTTTGAAAACTTTGTACATCTTCTTCAGTATATTGAACTGGATTTGACTCAGCCATAATTTTATGTCCACTGGTAAAGGCCTTTAAATTTAACAATTGTCAATATTTTGTAGAAACGTCAAAAAACTTTATGTTGGCGCAGAGCCTTGATTAAATCTTAATTGTGGAGCGCAGACTCTGCCCACATAGGGTGTACGGATGGCCAATACCAATACTCTCGACGACCAGGTTGCACTCCCAAAAAGACGCGTACTATCACTGTATCAGCATAAGATGTTTTATTTTCTTGTGATGTGTTGCAAACAGTGTAAAACAATACGAACAAACAACGTAGTACGAACAACAATACAGCAGTACGAACAACAATACAGCAGTACGTCAGTACGTACAGATGCACAATACAAAGAAGTACGGTTTTCTGAAATAACATAAATATAATAAATACACAAATAATAACAAGATCGGGGCAGTAACGTATCAGTAGGCCTATACTATTGTAAACAAACCCTAAATATCTTTGTTACGTCACACAATCACGTAATGACCAAATATGGCATCACTAACGGTTATAATAAATAAACACACAAATTACCTCTGCCGGCACTTTCAAGGCCTGACAGGAAAACAAATACAAACCATGTAAAACTTAGAATACAAAACTATATGTATAAACTTACTTGACGTTGTGTCCTCAAGGGTCGTCAAGCAGTAACTTGAACGTTAAATCACAATAACTTGACTGAATTACTTAGCAATATTACAATAACAACTGTGAGGAATATCAATAATACACTATTATTAGCAGTACAAATAAATACCGTACATTTTACTAACACTACAAGCCTAAGTCGTTCACTAATTAATCAATTATAAACCCTAAAATAACACTCTCAGACCGACGTCAAAACAGCCATCAGCCAGAATCCTGCAGCGCGCGCGGTCCCCTGACGTCACTTCCACAAAGTCATTGTGGTGCAATAACCAAGCATTCGATAAGCTGGTCCATGGCGCCAACTTGCGGGAGAAATGATTTTACTTCAAGATATTGGCGGTAACACGTAGTAACGCGCACATTTTTGCGCACATGCATCAAATTCCACTTGATTATTGAGCTATAGGTTTTTAACGAGCTTTTGTGTATGATTTCATTCCATAGAATTTGTATGCTGTTCTAAAGAATACTAGTTTCAGCTTTTTCATTCATTCAAACCGCGTGTTGAAAGTAAGTTTTGTAATATTGCGTGTTGGTTTCCAACACCCTTAAATCGGTGAGGCCAGTAAATCTTTAATACAGAAAGATCAGTAACATCTGCAATAAAAACAGCAGTACCCACTCAAATGACAGCTGGGGGATGTATACTCTTTGTATCTGCTCCATCGCGTGCCTCTTACAGTCTTACCAGTTTACATGAGTGCCAAATGGTATCTAAGCTCAGCCAGAGACAAAAAGTTTCGGACTGCAGCTGGCGTGACGAAATGTTTTTAAATATATATTATACAATAAGATTATTTGATTGCATACTACTGAAAGTTCCGCCTTATATGTCTTTTCCCATTGCACTATTCCTCTACTGATATTCGATAATATGACGCTCATCTGACATAGTTCTTAAAGTGTGTAGATGGGTATAATCTTTTCCACGCTGTTCAGATGGGAATGCGCGAATATATATAAGAATTGCTAATATTGGTTTGCAATGCGATGAAATCCCATCTTGGCATTTCTGCCTCTCGCAATTGCTGCGTATACTTATCGGGGGGAAGTTCTGTGGCGGGGTTATCAAATGAAAAAAAAACATTTGGGTAATTTTCCTACTTCTCTACTACCATCAAACCTTGACATTTTGTGAAAACGTTTCTCCATGCAACCTTTTTTAAAACATCCCCAGCAACCACGATTAATTCTGTTATTAAACTTCCGAAATAAACAGATAAAATCATCAACATATGCATATCACCAAGTGGATATTACTGAATTGATCTTTATTTTACCATTTTTCATGTAATTCTTCTTGGTAAACCTGTTATCTATCGTAAATACAGCACATTTGACAATGTTGTAGTGTGACTATTTTGGCCTCACATTTTTGATATGTGTAGTTAGAGCTCTTGGGGCTCTGTCAAACAAAGTTCCATACAAAATATTGGTTGTAAATTGCAAAACATGATCATGTTGTTGGAATAACTTGGCATTATACCACCCGTATATCATTCATTGTTGAGAATATTAATAAAATCATAAAATTTAAAAATCCGTTTTCGTGAAATTTTTGTTGTAGCTGAATTCCAGGGACAGCATGACAACAGGCAAGCCTCTTTTAGTTTATGACATGGTTTATTAAAAGGGGACCCCGTCCTCCTTGGAGGCCGCTGATCGGCTATCTGGGAGCACGAACAAACAGATGGAAATGCGAATATATAATAACAATGAATTTTTATAGAAGAGAAGAAGCAAAAGTGTTGAGAGTCTTTGGTAGTTTGAAAAGCATTGGCATGGAACATAAGAATGAACTACATTCTTTCTCAGGGATATACCATAAAATGTAGCATTTTTCTCATTCTTGTTCTCGTGATATCATTATCTTTCTCTGCGTCGTCGTGATCATCCCGCTGCATAACAATTCTCGCTAACAAATAATTGACTGTTCTCCACCGGGTGTATATCCACTTGAACCACTGGCGACTGCATTAGCAGACTTGTATTGTTAATTGCAACAAAAACGGGTATTTTGAAATAGTACTCTTTATTTTACGCGTATGTTTCGACAGTATTTCCATATACTGTATATGGGTCGCGACCCAAAGCTGGGCTCAACAAATACCTATGATGTTGATGATTTTATTTCCTAGTAAATTTGATGCTTGCGTAGTTTGTGCACCAAGATTGCGCACAACCTGAACATAGTATTGTAACAGGTTATGATTCAGGTTGTGCGTCATCATGATGCACATGTTTGACGAAAAACTCTAATACAAATATCTCAATAAATACCTAAAAGTTATTGATTTTATTTCCTAGTAAATTTGGTGCTTGCGTAGTTTGTGCACCAAGATTGCGCACAACTTGAACATAGTATTGTAACAGGTTATGATTCAGGTTGTGCGTCATCATGATGCACAGGTTTGACAAAAAACACTAATACAAATATCAAACCGTAAAAAAAATTGCTCAAGGCTGCAAACTCCACACCCATGTAGAAATGATGGGCAATGACCCCAAGATGAATAATCACAAATAAAAAAAACTTTGTCTGAAATCAAACTTGGGCCAAAAAGGTCCCCTTATCTGCCGGACTATATATTGAAGCAAAAGAGAAGCACTGCAAAAAAGTCAGACGACACGATGCGTCACAATCTAGATCAGTGATTCTCAAACTAGGGTTTGAGAGCCGCATGCGGCTCTCAACAACCTTTCCTGCGGCTCTTGTTAAAATGCTCTAAAAAATATTTACTTTCAAAGAAAATTTTTAATCGAAAACTTATTATTGACTTGAAATTAAAATGCGGAAGTCGATTAGTTAGTCGAATGGATTTCCCCGTGTTTATTTGCGTAGCGTTGACTATTCTACAAGATGCAATAGTGACGCAGCAGTAAGCGTTTTCGCGGCCACTCGGACACTTTTCACTTGAAAAGATTTTAGACATGGCTGTGATCATTGGCTTGCTTTTGGGAATTTTATGTTTTTGTCGCATTTCCGAATATTATGTATAAATCAAAATAACTCAATGATTATTTTAATTTCTAGAGCATTTTAATTTTGTTTCAATAATCGAAAATAGTCTTGAAATATCTGGCGATCATATCAACAAGCTACTGCACCTTGCATCCGCCACGATTACGACCCGCTTTGACCAACTTATTAGAAATCAAAGCCAAATTAAATGGCTGTTAGTCTAAGGTGGGCAAAATCAAATCGTTTTTCGAATCGAATAGTTTGAATATTTTTTATGAATACCGAATAGTCAAATAATGAATATTTTTTATACATAACAGGGATCCAGAACGTCGGAGGTCGATACTCCATTTGGAAATTAACAAAAACTTTGAAAAGTCGGCAATAAAGCGTTTTATAATGGTTAACTTCATCATAATCGCTGATCGTGTTTGTCACCGCGATCTTCGGCGGCGATATCCTATAGTGTTTTGCAAAAATAAAGGGTCGCCAGATATCGAAGTTTCATATTTCTAGTATACCCTTGCGTTCACATCAGCGACAGCTGTTGAATACCTCGCAAATTTACGATTGCTTGAATCCTGAATGTTGATTTAAAATGGCGATTAAATAAATTGGCAATAAAGGCATTTCTAGGCCTTTGTGCCTAATAGAGGGTCAGACGCTGATTATAATTCTGAACTAATTCCTTCAAGTTTTTTAAATTTTCTTTTTTTCATTAAAACAAAAATGCTTCAAAATTTAGAAATTGTGTTCATTTTCGATGATAATAGACGCAACAATTCGTGAACGAGTCATTGTGCATTGTTACAACGAAATTCACGATTGATTTCACGTTCTACTCTTGGCTCAACGGCCTTGCATGGTCGAGTAAAATATTCATATTCGAAACATTACTTGGCCAAGAATGAAAGGGATTAATAAAGAGCTAATACAAAGTGCTTTAAAGGGAGTAGGACATGACATTTCTCATCTGGTTACAACTTAATGAGTGTTTTTCATAAAAGTAACTCATACCAGCTTTTGGAAAAACTTTTGGTCATTTTTAAATCTATGCTATTTATATAACTAGAGTTTTCTAACAACCTAAAATCGTCTTTCTTACAATGAAACGCCGAAAAGTCATTTTAACATTTATTTTTATCAACATTATGTCCGGCAATGCAAGAAATGGCTAATGACATGCCACCAAGCATGCGGAGTTTAAAATCTGGGAAATTTTTTTCGAATACATAATCTGGTTTGGCGTTTCTGAATTTACGCAACGGTCGGTACGTTTTTTTTGCAAAATATGAAATTGAAACGATACGTTAAGTGCAGATTTAAGCATATAACACCATAACGCAAAGAAAACAACTTCGAGTTCGGTGTCCAAGCAGAGCGGCGCAGGTCACGTGGTACTGGATATTCGAATGGTAAAATGCCATTCAAATGTTTTATTATTCGAATATTTTCCCCAGCCCTAGTTGTTACGTGTGTTGTTGTTACGATGACTTGGTATTTTAAATACGCGCTTAAGATTTGTTGCTATTTTACCTTGCGTTGTTTGTGTGCGGCTCTTCATAACTTTAAGATTTGAAATGCGGCTCTGGGACTAAAAAAGTTTGAGAACCACTGATCTAGATGGTGTACTTGCTGCCAGTTACCTCACTTTGCAAGTTTATCTGCCCACATGCAAGACAAAGGAGTCATTAAATTGCTACAATTCTTTGCAAACTTTTATAGAATAAATTCATAAAAATATTTGACATTTTATTATACATTTGGGGACAAGAAAATGGGGGCGACCGCCCCTCCCCGACTTTCAATTTTTTTCAAAATTGTGCAACCATTATGCAACTTGCTGAATATATCTGCTCTAGAATAGGTCCACCGAAAAAAAAATCCCATTAAAATGCGAATATTATACTTCCAAGTAGTCCTACATACTTCATAATTGGGCAGAGTGCACCTCGCACGGGTCAAATACGCGGTTATGACGTCATAAAGCCAAAAAATTTACGTGGACTTACAAAGCAGCCAATCAAAGCGTTGTCTACTTGACAGTTACAAAATCACAGCACATGACAAGTTGGCAGTTTTCTTTCAGTGGAAAGATTGATAACTATTCACAGCCACGAATTTAGTCAGACATGATACTTTCTTTGCCCGGAACCAAAGTGACTATAAACCAAGTGAGGACATGCATTGGTAACGTTATAAGTGCTCGTGTGACGTCACACCAGCCATTTTGTGTCCAGAGTTCTATCGCCGTGGATCCTAACTAAGTGATTTAAACCTAAAATCATTCATTAATCAGCTGATTAAAAAATAACGATGATAATTCATACCGAACTTTCGCAGCGGCAAAACGAATGAACATTCTTCTGAAAAATGTATTATCCGCAGATGTTTCTCGGATAACTCGGCTCGGCGGTATGGTCAGCATATACGAAGTTAAGGTTAAAGTCATCCAACTTCAATTGATAAATCAACACCCAATAAGACCGAAATATTAAACAAGAAGATACACATTTTATTATAAAATTCCTGATGTAAGTATCGCTACTTGCACCATACAATGCTACTGTAGTGTATTCTGCCTTTAGATCTTTATTAACAAGCACCAAGTTTCCATTACAACACTACTTTATTATAAGAGTCAAGCACTTCAACATTAAGACACCATAGCAGTAACAGACTAAACAGCAAGTCAAGCCACTTAAACCCGTGCACAGATAGAACAAGAATGACAGCCTCGGATATACAAGGCCAAATCAAGTCTGGGTCAATAGCGTCACCTACGGTATTACATCATATAATATACAACACTTTTTCCCCCTTCAAAAAAAAATGAGAATGTCATTACATTTCATTTACATTGTTTCAATAAACCGCTCAGGCTTACCCTAAGACGTTTGGATAACGTGAATTTCAACAGATGTTTCATCAGGGCACTGGGTTTCAGTTTCCAGTACTAAACATTAGGATTTAACAGCGTAAATTTTTATTAGCACTAGGGATATCAACATTAAGATCAATTACATCAGTATTTGGAAACAACAGAAGGCAATGAAACGTCATCATCCAAACTACTATCATATGATTTCTCTAATTTCACTTTAGACATGTCCAATATTGATCAATATGTCTTTTCCAGATCATTGAACCAACTTTTACACGATAGGTTACAAGACTCAACTTCCTTTACGAATTATTCCATGAATCCATTTTCGGTTTGGATCTCTATAATCACGAACTTGAACACGATTTTCCAACTTCCAGATTTCTAATAAGCTTTTGCACTGGAGTTGTTCTTTTCTGCATCGAATTACTCAAATTAGGTTTCATTAAATCTAATCTTGTTCTCAGTCTTCTTTTCATGAATAATTCAGCTGGAGTACATTTCGTTGTAGAATTGGCGTTGTTCGATAAGTTAACAAGAAACGATGCCAATTTCTGATTCAGTGTTCCAGGTAATTTCTTTAAAGTTTTCAGTGCAGTTTTGAAGGTACGCACATTTCTTTCAGCCTCACCATTACAGGACGGATGATACGGACTTGAGAAGATTTGCTTAATTCCATTTTGTATCATAAAATCTCGAAACTCTTTCGATGACAGGTTAGGAGCATTGTCGCTTACCAATATTTCAGGTAGTCCATATTTCGAAAATAAATATCTCAATGCATCAACAGTCTTTTCAGAAGTAGTTGGAGGCATTCTCAACACTTCAGGCCATTTAGAATGAGATCGACCACCACCAGAAAGTTTTCATTCATTATTGGACCAGCATAGTCAATATGAATTATTTGCCATGGCTTCGTAGGCCATATCCATGGATTTCCAGGCGTTTTATTCGCAGGACTTCTTACTTCCTGACAATTTGAACAATCTCTCACTTTCTGTTCAATTCTTTCATCAATATTCGGAAACCAAACATGCAATCTGGCTAATGATTTCATCAGAACCATACCAGGATGATTTTCATGCAGTTCATCTAATACTTCTGCAATATACTTTTCAGGAATAATAACTCTTATTCCCCACAGCAATATTCCTTCTTCCACAGTAAATTCATCTTTCCTCCTGTGGAATGCCAACAATTCATTTGTAATTTCCTCCTTTGCAGGCCAACCATTTATAGTATACAGCAACACTCGTGAGAGCTTTGGATCCTTTTCAGTTGCATGGCGGAGTTTTGCAGGAGTTATGGGAAGCGTATGAACTTGGTTTATGTTCAAAATCGTTGCCTCTTCTTCCCAACAATCACGTATTTCAGACTGAATCTGTTTTCATGGGCAATCGGGATAATGCATCTGCATTCCCTATTTTCGTGGTTCGGATAACATATTTCATATTTATATGCAGACAGTTTTATAGCCACCTTTGCAATCTGGTTGCAGTTAAAATAATATACCACGTTTGGACTCAATAGCATAGTTAAAGGTTGGTGATCAGTCAACAATTTAAAATTTCGACCATATAAATACACATGAAATTTTCTTACACCATATACAATTGCTAGTGCCTCCTTCTCATTTGGGAATAATTTTTTTCAGCACTTGTTAAAGTACGAGAAGCATATGCAATAGGTTTTTCAGCACCATTTGGCAGTATATGAGAAATTACAGCACCAATACCTACAGATGAAGCATCAGTGGCAAGTACTAATAGTTTTTCAGGGTCATAGTGTACTAGCACTTCAGATGACACCAATATATCTTTCAGTTTCACAAAAGCTTTTTTACAGTCACTATTCCAATTCCATTTCATACCCTTTTTCAGTAACTTATTGAAAGGATCAACAAGGGTAGACATTGCAGGAATAAATTTACGATAATAATTTACAATACCAAGAAAAGATTGCAATTCTTTTACATTTTCAGGGCTAGGGATTTCCATTATTGCTTCAATCTTTTTCGGAGAAGGGTGAATACCTTCTGCATTAACAATAAAAGCAAAATATTCAACAGATGGTTGCAAAAAACAACATTTAGAACGTTTCAATTTTACACCAAATGAATTCAATCTATATAGAAGATTATCAAGAAATTGCAAATGACTATCATCATCTTTTTCAGTGACAATCAAATCATCCAAAATACAACCCACATTTGGCAATCCCTGGAGAATTTTCTCCATAGTTTCTTGGAAAATACTAGGACTAGAAGCTGCCCCATATGGTAACCTTAAATATCTAAATAACCCCATATGAGTATTAATAGTGACATATTTTTGAGATTCATCATCAAGTAAGACTTGTTGATAAGCTTCTGATAAATCAAGCTTTGAAAATTTCTGTCCCCCATTCAATTTACTAAATAGGTCCTCAGGTCTAGGCAAGGGATATTCAGGGACATCTAATTCAGGATTTATAGTTACTTTAAAATCCCCACAAATTCTTACTGAACCATCAGCTTTCAATACTGGAACAATGGGTGAAGCCCAATCAGAACTTTCAACTTTTTTCAGGACCCCCATATTTACTAGTCTTTTCAGCTCATCCGAAATTTTATCACGAAGAGCAAAAGGAACAGGACGTGGCTTGTAGAATTTCGGAATGGCACTTTCTTTCACCCTTAGTTTAGCAGTTATACCTTTTATAGTACCAAGGGAATTATCAAAAACAGGGTACTTTTTCAAAATATTCTCAAGCGTGAGCTTGGAACCAATATGACAAATACGATGCCAATTCAATTGCAATTGGGATAACCAATTTCTACCCAATAGTAATGGACCATTGCCACGAACAATTTGCAAAGGTAAATTTACACACTGTGACTCATATTCAACAGTAACATTCACTTTACCTAAGACAGTAATATTTTCACCAGTATAAGTTGTCAATACAACATTAGATTTCAGCAAAGGCAAATGTTTAAAATTCTTTTCATACATGCTTTCAGAAATGAGTGACACCCCACTACCAGTATCTAATTCAAATTTACAATCACAATTTTCGATTCTCAGTGGAACTACTATTGGACCATAAGAACTAGACTTAGTAGTAAATACAGGACACATTTCATTTTGAGAACAGTCCGAAGACAGGTTATCATCATTCGTAGGTTGCATGTAGTCACAATTCGAAGACTTTTTACTTTTCAGAGGATTGGAACCTCGATAGAAGTTACGTTGCATTGAGCATTTTCGACTTATATGCCCAATTCGTTTACATTTATGGCACTTTGCATTTCTGTAGAAACAGCTTTCAGCAGGATGATTACTTTTCCCACATCGAAAACATTCTTTGAATTTTCGAATTTCAGAACGCGTTGCAAATCTTTGATTATTTTGAACTTTATGAACTTTTGGTTTATTTTCATCTACTGGCAATTTTTCAAATTTGCAACTTAATTCATTGGCTTGTTTTTCTGCCAATTCCATACCAGTAGCAATTTTCACAGCATTCTGCAGAGTTAGGTCAACTTCAGTTAATAATTTACGTTTCATTCGAGTTGATCTTAGTCCACTCACAAATCTATCTCTTAGTGAATCATTTAAGAACTCACCGAATTGACAATGTTCAGATAATTTCCTGAGCTGTGCCAGGAACTCATTCACAGTTTCTCCATCATGTTGGATTCTTTCATGAAATTTGACTCTTTCTGCTATCACCAATGGTTTGGGGTTGAGATGCTTGTTCACAAGTTCTTCTGCTGGACATAAGTCTTTTCACCAGGCTTTTCAGGAGCACATAAATTTCTGATCAAACTGTATGTTTGAGCCCCGCAAACGCTTAATAATATGGCTTTCTTTTTATCAGCACTTTCAATCTCGTTTGCTTCAAAATGATGTCCTAAGCGTTCAACATATTCAGACCAATCTTGGCCATTACTATACTCTTCTATTTTTCCAAAAGTAGTCATAAAAGGTATAGTAATTTTTCAGCTATGGAATTTCAGGCTTATAAATTTCAGACTCTTGTTTTCAGGTACTTGTAATAACGTTGACTTGAAACACTTACTGTGACACCGGCATGCAGCAGACCAATCCCATCGTAACAGTTTAACGTTATACGGCAGCAGACCAATCCCATCCTCGTCGCCAAATTGTGGTGTATTCTGCCTTTAGATCTTTATTAACAAGCACCAAGTTTCCATTACAACACTACTTTATTATAAGAGTCAAGCACTTCAACATTAAGACACCATAGCAGTAACAGACTAAACAGCAAGTCAGCACTTAACCCGTGCACAGATAGAACGAGAATGACAGCCTCGGATATTTGGGATATACAAGGTCAAATCAGTCTGGGTCAATAGCGTCACCTAGCGGTATTACATCATATAATATACAACAGCTACACTATAATACAAATTATACTACAGAAACTTGCACTATTTTTGCGGTACATGTCATGATACATATTTTTTTACGGATAAGAACTTTCCAAGTCTTGGATCAGTGTCTAAAAGACACGTCATATCCGAGTCATATCTGTATAACGCTTCGTAAACATGCCACTGCGTAGGCAGCAGTCATACCCTTAAGGAGGCTTCGGTATCAGCTGCGCCGTAGCACGGCACAGACTTCCACCCCGGGGTTCGGTACATGCTGTATATCACAGCACAACGTTTTCCCGGGGCTTCTGTCTATACAATGCAGGACACAGCACAACTTTTGCCTCCCCGGCTTCCGTATCTGCCATGAGTAGCACGGCAAGAACTTCTGCCCTGGGATACTGTACATGCTATGTACCAGATAGCATGACGTTCGCCCAGGGCTTCCGTCAATGCCGCGCGTAGCACAGCTCAACTTCCGCCGGCCCGGTTTCCGTACACACAGTGTGAAAACGTGTAACACGCACACAGCATGACATCCACATGTCATGATATTAAAATTTGCGTATCGCAAATTTTTAACAAGGTGTACATTGCCAAAATAATATTAAATAAATATACTACATGCATGGAATGAAGGATAACGGCGTATATCAAGTTTACAAGAACATCTAATAATCTGGAGTGTATAAAATAATATAGTAGGCTATTATCTATTTGACTATAGCTCTTGCCGCAGGTCTACTAGCATACCGATTTTCAATAATTTTATTTGTCTCCTCTTTTGCGTGAATATTTAACCTTAAATTGAGAAAACGTTTCAAAATTTTAAAAGCGATATTGTCGCAAGATGGGAAAATATATTTCAAGCAAGTTTATCTGTCAGAAAAGTAACAGGCGAACATATATTATGAAATGCATTAATATTTGCTCGAAATATAGTTTATACTTGGCGCAAAAATACGATTGCTTTTTTGGATGAGTGGCATAAATATTGGTTAAAACTATCAATTTTCAAATATTTATCAGGTGTGTAAGACCTAAAAAGAGTTAGTAACGATTGTGGGCATTCCTCGGGATTGACACTTTCCATAGAAACAAACAAACAATTTGAACCCCGTGTCTTTATAGGGTTCCCCCGGAAACATCAAGGCTAATTTTTCACTGTTGGATATCGATAAAATTACAATTAAGTTTTATCAACGAGAACGTAGAGGACATGATGGCGTCGCTAGATCACCTAGTAAATATTTTACATTTTCCGACGCAAAAGAATCGAATTATCGTGCCAATAATAAGTTGATAAGAGCTGCAACACCAGTTGCGGCGGCTGGTTTTTAAATTAAGAAACATTTTTCCGAGATAATTCATTTCATCAGCTTCTGGAATGATTAATGTAAAACGCAGGCTTTAAACTTTCGGCATGGTGTGCACAGGTATCATAATACCAGTTCAAATAGTACCTGATTTAATCGTATGAATTAGGTTAATTAATGACGTTTCACACTTGCGAAGGAAATCGATATTTGTTTTTCATACGGAACTTTGCTACGTTGCGACGTAATTGCGTAACGAAGTAATTAGGGAACGTTGTTGTTTAACTCAAGTTGGCGCAGTGGACATGTCAAGAATTGGAGAACATTGAATGAAATAACTTCTTACTTTGCTTGGGAAAGTATGTATTATAAAAAGTTTAATTGTTTCACTTTTTACGTACAATTATACATATTTACCTGTTTTCATACCAGATAGGTATATTAAATCACTCAATTCTATCTTATATCAATTCTTATGGAATTCGAAATGGGAAAGGGTGAAAAGAAAAACATTAATTGGGCCTAAATTATTAGGGGGGGTAGATATGATTGATATTCAAAGTTTTATTATAGCACAGAAAATCAAGTGGGTTGCTTTTTATTGGATGAATCTAAAACTACTAAATGGAAGATTATCGAACTTGATTATTTGAAGGATTTTGATTTTGGTATCTTTGTTAAAAGGTAATCTATTCTGGAATCCTATTTTATAAAAACATTCCCTTTCTCACCCATAAAAGACATGCTTATATACTGGTATAGCTATAAAAAATATTGTTACGGATGTTCATACACTCAATCAGCCACTATGTACAATAGAAAACTGCCAATATTGTAGAAAGCCCTTTGTATGTTTCCAATTGGAAAGAACATGGTATCTCTGAACTGAAAGATTTAGTTTCAAATGCTACATATTATACCTTATTTTGAACTTCTTGTTAAATATGACATGCAGTATAATGTTGAAGAATATAAATGGTATTATAAAATTATAGGTAGCATTCCCGAAGAATGGAATGATACTGTTGAAACACATGTAAACTTTGACTGATCATAGATTTGATTTTATGGCATTTCTCACAACAACAACTGAAAAACTTTTTGTGTAAAAATGCTTATAACAGCATAATAATGAAAAAGTTTGTTCCCCCTAGTATGTACAAATCATTTTGGCAAGAGTCCTTCAATATTCCTAATGTGAAGTGGGATAGCTACTTCAAAAATTCGTTGTCATCAACCATTGAAACCAAAATTAAGATCTTTCCAAATTAAATTTTTTTATAAATCTATAGTTCTCAACTATACATTACACAGCTTTGGACTAGTGGATACAAATATGTGTGAATTCTGTAAACAACATATTGAAACCTTATTACATTTGTTTTATTATTGTCCATAACAAGTCAATTTTGGTCTGAGGTAGACCAATGGATAGTTTTCAAAACTGAGAATTTGAATTTTAGTCTTAGTATAAAAGAATGTTTCATAGGGTTTGATGATATTCCTAATTTGCAATTTGTTAACTGTGTATTATTGGCTGCCCGTTTCTATATATATAGATGCCGAATTCAGAAGCACAAAACCGATTTTTGATGTGTTTTTCAAATTTCTATGTAATATCCGTGATAGTGAAAAATATTCAGCATTTAAAAATGGCAAACTTCACATACATAGAAAAAAATGGAATTTATTTAAAGATTGCAGTAATGTTATTATTGTAAACAGATAATTGTTATTATATTATTCTAACTATTGTATTAGGTTATAATTTATATATATGTATTGGGTCGTCTGGGATGTGTATATGTATATATTGTATTAAGTTATAATTTATGTATATGTATAGGGTCATCTGGGATGACATTGTTATTGAACACGTAGTGGACATATCTATCGTTTTGCATTTTATGCAGGCAATCCTCTTCTTTTTGTTTTTCGTTTTTAAAAAGATAAAACTTCTCTCCAGAAGGCTATTACTTTTTTTCGATATGACGTCATCAAAATTACGTGGCCCCACGTGTCCATATATTTGAGCCCTCCTGTTTAATTATAGATAAAATGAAAATTTATTTATTAATATTGTTTACTGCAATAATTTATCAAAATCTAAATGATTTGCCATGATATTGTTATGTATTACTGTGATGTATTATTTATTGATTGATACTGTTTATTGCAATTATATTGCAATATTGTTTTATTTTATGAAATGCAATAAAAAAAAAAAAAAAAAAAAAGAATGAAATAACTCTGGTGCACGATAAATTATAGTAGGCCCGTCACATACGGACACCACTATAGCAAAATCTTAATTTCTCGTAATCCGTACCACATAGAAGCGTGACTCCCGTATTAAAATAAGCAATTTGAACGTGCCCTACAGCCCACTGTCAATTTCGGCAATCCGCCTAATATTTTGTTAGATATGAGCGTTTTCCCCCAAAAAATTTATTCAGGTAAAACGGACACATGGATGGGTAAAACGAACATTAAACAAAATTAATTGAAGACACTACTGACCTATTTGAATGCGTCTAAAACGCCTAAAAAAATCATAAATAATAAGCCTCGAGCATTACAGTGGGGGCGAGCAATGATGTTCATATTACCCCACCAGACATGAAAACTTATCAATCATCCAGGCATGTACTTGCAACTGAACAAAAGCTTTGCTAATGCATGCACAAACTTTAGTTGATCAACTGAATGTCCTTTACCATGAATAACATAACAAAATTAAACTAATGAAACAGGCAAGTTATTTATATGTAAATTATTAGTGGCATTCCTCACATGTGAAAGCTTGAACGTTTCTGCCATAAACACCAGCACAAATGTCATGAAACCATCTGAGGCATTGTATCCACCCCTCATCATCGTAAAAATTGCCTTCACAAAACCCACAAACATCACTATTTCTAACAGCCTTGGCAGATTCTTTCCTGTTTATAATTCTTCCTACTTTGACCTTGCTCACATGAGGTGCATTCAAACTGCTGGCCTCTATTTTCTTGGACACTGCCTTTGCTTTTTTCTTAGTTATAATACCAGATTCCTCTTTATTTTCTAGAGCTGCTAGTTCTTTCCTATATCCTTCACTGGTGAGTATTCTTATACCAGTTATAATCGCTTTCTTACGAGGTGGTTTTAATCGAGGTGGGGCCTTCGGAAAGGGCAGAATCTCTTCAAATGAAGTGTCACTCGAATCCAATAAACTATCCTCTGGAGATGCTGGTGAACTACTCTGTTGTTCTGTAGAGATTTGCTGCCTAAACTTGGGACCTGATGTTTGTTGAATAGTTTTACTGCAACAGGGTGAATCATTGTCAGCTTGCTGCAAACCACATGCAACAAAATTATTACTTGTCGACGAGCTAGGAATGTTGAGCGGTGGTTGGGAAGTGATGTTGCTAGGCTCTCCTAAATCGAGGTTTACTAAAATTTGATGTGTAGTTTCTGCTGGAATGAATGCATGGTCTGGAATAGCCTCTCTATCTAAGGGAAAAATTCCAGTGGACCTGAAAGATGACACAGCATTTTGTAGTGTACATATCTTCATATACGCCTTTGTGAATAGATGAGGGAAGTCCGCTCTTGATACTCCAGTTCCAGGGTTGTTACGCAAGTGTGTTCTGACAGCTTCACTGTAATGATCTTTGAGCGGACCGTAGTGAACTTTGTCGAGTGGCTGGTGTGCGGAGGTAGGCTGACAATTTCCACATGATTAGCACAAGCGTATTGAAGAACTTTGTCACTTCGTGTGTGTGATCCATGCCCATCAAGTATAAGAAGTACTTTTCCAGAGCTGGAGTTGACGTGTGAGCAAAAATGCATTATCCATTCAAGGAACAACTCTTTGTTTATGTAGCAAGATTCACTGTAGCATACTTTGGAAGAAGGAGGAAGTCCTTTTTGCTCGCTTACCCTTATAAATTATCATCGGTGGAACATAATTTCCTGCTGCATTAACAGCTAATATAACAGTTTTTATTTGACCTCGTTCGCCACTTGTCACTTGGCTTGAATATCGAGCTCCTTTTGAACCGACACACCTGGTACAAGGCTTAATCCAGTTTCGTCCATATTGTAAATTCGTGCTGGCGAATTGAAAAGTGAATTTTCCTTCATTACTGCCTCCAGTAGGTCAAAGTATTTATTGACTGTGGGCTTGTTTAAATGAATTGCTCTTTGAATTGACAGGGGCTGCGGCTTTCGTATAGTTATCAAGTTTCCGTATCGTTCCCGAAAGCCACTCCACCAGTCTTTTCCAGCCATTTTAGAAGATTCTGAAAATTTATTAGGAATTTTGTTCTCCATTGCAAATTCATAAGCCAACTTTCGAATGTCTTTAACTGTTAATGGGAAGCCTCTCTTTTCAAATTCGAGTATATGTTGCAAAAGATCCTTTTCATTCTGGCCCAAGGTAGGAGAACAACCTAGACTCCGTGATCCCGGGGCCTTCTTCAGTGTTTGATAAACATGCCGGCGAAGTGTAGCTCTTGGAACCGAATATGTACGTGCTGCAGTCAGGAGTTTACCTCCGCTTTGTACCATTTCAATTGCTTTTTTCATGTTTTCTTCCATCCATTGACATCTTTTACTAGTTCTCTTCCATTTACGAGGCATATTTCCCAAACAACAATTCAAAATCTGAGACAGTGTCCCTTTTGGGGTGAAATGGACACTAAAAACAAAAAAGCATATTGTTTTGGACTGGTAAACTGAAATGAAACAAATGATATCCCAAATAAACACCACTCAGATAGTGTATAAATCAGACTACTTTTTATTTTGTGATTGCATAACCACAGAGCCTACGATGGAAAATAAAAAAGTCACCCCCCTAATTAGTAATTGTCATGACGTCATGAAGTTTATTTCGAGCTCCCACAGCAATCTGTGCAGTCAGACTATGCAAACGCCCTTAAAACCTCATGAGGTAAAGTAAAAAAGCAAAAAATGTTTATTACCTTATACTTAGTGTTTTGGTCCCACAATTGACGTTGAAACTCAATATGATAGTAAATGCCAACTTTTTCGCCCCTTCAAAATCGAATGTGTCAGAAAATCGCAAGCATGTTGACGAGATTTGCGGCAATGGCGACGTATTCGCTTCAGCGAAATAACGCTTGGTTACGTAACAAACGAGCAGTGAAACCGCGGCCGTAGCTCTTATGGTGTCGCTGTAAGATCAAATCGAAAAAAGGTGTCCGCATTACCCCGCCTGTCCGTCCTCCCCCGATCTACTATATATATAATGTCGAAAGCTATTTTTAACCTCTGCAAATGTGTCGATGTCATATTAGGTTAAAACTAGAACAAATCAAAGTTTTTTTTATATTTAATTCAAAAGCTTTTCAAAAAAATTCACGCTCTTCAATTTTGCCGATTTTTGTATGATAATCGCGACATTTTATCTCCAACTCATAATTATATTAATTCTCCTAGATTGTCTCTCAAACAATATAAAACTTATCTGCATATAATATAAGGTTCGTGAGATATGGGGTTTCAAAGTTGCATAACTCACATGGGATGATAAGATAACTATCGCAACTTTCACGAATGCACGATACCATCTGATTCCACGAGGCAAATAGCAACAGAAAAATAATAAAATTACCAGAATAAAATGCAAAACAGTAAAAAATCTTCAAACGAATTGACGAACGAGACCTTCTGACGAAGCTAAAACAAACCGACGCTGCCGCGTTCCCCCGATTCGCTGGACACAAAATGACGTCCGATATGCATCAATGCACTCGGTGTCTCCACTTGGTTTATAGTCACTTTGCCCGGAACAAAACATCAGCAATATTTGTACAAATTGAATTGTTTCAATAATTCCATAAGCCTGGAGCGACGGTTCCGAGACGTTCCTTTATCGAATCACAAACAATTTTCTCACTTTTCAGCCGCTCAAAGAATTGTTTCCTGTGAAGTTCGCGAAGATTTCAGTTTTAACATTGGACAAACCTATTCTAACCACATTTGTAGTCAATCAGTTTTCAAAACTTTAATTTTGGAGACCTCTTAAATTTTTGACCAGTTCACGTAGGCATGGAATCTCTTTTTATAACTCTAGAAACATAGTTAAGCAAAATATCAGCAGTATCTCAGATGTAATTGCACATACGTTATCACAATATCGAAGGGTTTTATCATTATCATGATTTACTTTAAAATATATCGATTTATAATTTTCCAATACCCATAACATATACCTAGAGCTATATTTAAGTACGTCAGATTAACAATTCTTGTTCCTGTAAAAGAAAAGACTGATATTGAAGTCACAGGAAAAGTTATAGAATAAAATTTGTTCAAGCATTAACTGGAGTTAGTTAAATAAAATTCTGACTGCAATGATAATAAATATCATAAATTATACTACAGACTCACGAGTTGGGGTACATCATATAATTCCATTTTGTGGCTCACAATATTATTTATATTAGTATCGGTTATTGTCCACTAGTTCGCCGATATATCGATATCGGTGCCAAAAAGTGATATCGATCGAGCTCTACTCCACACGTCTCGTTATTTTCTTGTACAATGTATACGATATAGTGGAAATTGCGGCTTACGCCCGAAATATCTTTCGTGTGTTATGTAAGTCGGTGTGACCATAGCAATTTTCTTCGGAAATTTATGCATCCTAACTCATCATTCATGCGAGGACCCCTGATAATGTCATAATATCAATTTACTAGAAAGCCTATGTTAAATAAAGGTGCGGCCCGCAGTTTCACCCATTCAATTGTATCTTTCCTCCTGTATTACAGTTTGCATTTCAATCACAAGTATCGATTTCCTATGTTCTGAAATACCTGTCCGTCAAGCCAATGAGCATACCAGTTTATACATTTGTCAAGCTCAAATAATGATCACTGTAAATATAGTTCGCAGACAACTATTTTATCACGTCTGTCTATAGCAGTGGTTCTTAAACTTTTTCGAGCGCGACCCAAATCTGAGTTTTATGAATACTCGCGACCCAATCCTAAATAACGCAAAATGTGTTAGTGCAGTTTGACTCAAATACAGACAACTATTTATTAGAAACAGTCCATTGACTCAGTGAGATTGATGAAACTGAAATTTCCTTTTCATTATATCTTCAATACACAGCTCTATTTTACTTAACGCAATACGCAAGTTGTCACGGGTATCGAGGCGATTGCGAGCTTAGTTTTGTTAACCGTCAGTGCCAAATATCCTCGCTCGCACAAGTGCCTTGTCGCGAATTGTAGCAGAAAAGGCGCCCGCTGTCCGTCGCAAACACGACATCCTAGCTGGCCTTCGGTATCTCTCGCAATATACAACTTTTTACTCATCAAATGTGCACGCACTGCTTCGTTCGCGGTAAATGGTGCCTCGAGATGAAGTCACATTTTCTCTAGATATTGAATAATCTAATGTCGAGAAGCGAGCTTTTTTTCATTGCGTCGTCTATTACAATTTACATTACCAAAAAGACACCCATTTTTGGTTATTTTAATCCACTAAGACGACATTCCACGCGGTCAACACAACGACAAGCGACGTGCATGGTTATTGGTTACCGATACCATAAAAATAATACACGTGACTGGCATATCAGAATTGTGATGTAACAATGAGCTCAAGACAGTTCTTTCCGTGAATGAAATTTTATATTTCATTATTTTTTAATACCAGAGTTTAGAAGCTGAATTGAAACATTGGGAAAGCTGAAAATTCGTCCTTCTCCTCTTAGATTGCCCTTGCATTGACGACCATGTCGCGACCCATTTTTAAACCTTCCGCGACCCATGTTTGGGTCGCGACCCATACTTTAAGAACCACTGGTCTATAGTATAGTCGATATTGATAGATCTCTAATGCATGTATCCTCATTCAAATTTTTGAATTACAAAATATTTTTTATCGACTTCCTTGTTTACTTCGTGACATTGGACAATCAGCAAGATGCAAATAGTGACGTAACAATGCTCCCTTTTTGCATCCGCTCAGACACCTTTCTCACTTAGACAGATTTTCAAGCGGGGTAGTAAACATTACCTCGTTTTTGACTCTCCATTTACGCATTTGAATCACAAATTAGCCTATCGATTTCCATGTCCTCGATCAATCAATTTTATTTGGTCACTCTGAGAAACAAAACAAACAAAATACAGAGGACCTGGAGGACGGGCATAACTTAATAAAAACGCACAAGTACGCGCCCGTCCACCAAAAACAGTCAAACACAATAAAACAAAAACACGATAAATAAATAATCGGGCAATACTTTTAAATGTGAGACGTGTATGTAAGGATAAGGTTTACAGTTCTATCCCGGGGGAGAGGAAAGCCGATAAGACGGCTCAACCATATGGCGAACCACGGCCTGTTATCATTTACCTCGTCCGGTTATCATTCCATGTCGGGTATGTGATCAGTTAGTTACTTGTTTTCGGAAGCATGGACTTGATGGTGGAGTGTAACACAACAGTGCTTTTCCTACAAAACTATGGAATAAAAAACACTCGATGACGTAAAATGGCGATGCTTTAGGCCTAGTTCAATTTCATTGCAAAAATAACACAGTGACAAAAATTGTTACTAAAAAAACAAGCGGTAAATAGATGGAATGTTCCAAAGCAGTCTATGCACAAGTCATGGATTGGGGTATCGGGTTCTTTTTTCGTTTTCTATTACTTCAATTTAAAATCATTGTATTCGTTTCAATGCTTCCAACATTAATTTCGAATATCCACGAACGACCACCATTCCAACAGGTGCAGTGGTCCCATCTTTTCTGCGCTCTGTTCCATCATCCACAACTAGATTCATAAAAGGGTCGAAACCTCCCAATATATCCGTAACAGATCGCCCACCATTTAACTTTCAATTCAATCTTTTATTCATAAACTTCTTAATTCCGGTGGATGGGATTTTCTCATGTTGATATCACGCGATACAAATACCGAAACATACAGTGCGTAGCATTCTCTAGTCCAGCGTTTCCCAAACTTTTTTGGCCACGGAACACTTGCACTTTTTATCTCGCCTCGCGGAACACCAAAAATCGAAAGAATAAAATTGATAAAGCAAAACGGTGTAATGTAGCGGTTCCCAATCTCGTGGCGAGTTGCCAAATGCAACTACCAGAATTGTGTTAAACATACTTAAAAATGATTGAATATTTCGCATATTGCATTTAGTATAAATGTTTTATTGTTTATTAATCTAAATGCTGTGTATATAAACCAATTCATTCATTTTACCATTCTATGTCGTTTACTCTCCCTAACTTAGTGTTTGTCTTTAATGTTACGTCTAATGAAGATAGAGGTACTTGCAGCAATTTATTTATCTACTAAATAGAGTTCAGCAAAAATGAGAATTTTTTTAGCCTTTCAAGGTAAAACCAGGCAAAGGTGGAGGAGGAATAACGACGGTTATCGAAAATTCCACTACCCCACCCTAATTAGTCCACTTTAGGCCGACGGTGACCGCGATATCGAAAGGGCAGTTGGGCGACCACTTCACGTTCCATAGATCGTCATGGCGACTGTTTTGGACGTATTTTTGATTCTTTTTCCACGGAACACTTCGAAGACGCTGTGTTCCGCGGAACACAGTTTGGGAAACGCTGCAGTCTAGTCTTTTCAAGCAGACACGTCCGCACCCGGCGACGGCGACTTCAAGCTGAGACTCAAAAAACAATTTATATGCGTTGATGATCATCACGTAACATCAGCAGTTTTTTGTTGGTATCGGTACATCTCTTATACGAATCCTCATCTTTTTAGAAGATGAGAAATCCACTATTGTCCATGATCTCTTGGCGCGGCGGTGTGGCTCAACGGGCTAAGCGTTAGGAATACGCTCGCCACCGCACCTCTAATTACTCTGCGTAGGTTCGAATCCCATGCAGGGATGGTTATGTGCGAGAGGATTGCTGGACTCCTCGCCGTCGTTGGGTGGTTCACGTAACCGCTGGTCGGTCACGGCTTCCTCCACCCCCTAGTACATGCTTCCGAAAACAAACAATATAACTAATCCCATACCCGACTTGTAATGGTAGCCGGAAGAGAAGCCGTGGTTCGCCATATTAATAAGCTGTCTTATCGGCTCTCCTCTCCCTCGGGATAAATATGTAAATCCTATCCCATATGAGTGAAAAAAAAACATCAATCTGAAAGCATTCTTATCTAGCTAATTACCTGGTATGTCATGTTCTGCTAGACCACAAAAAATGTATCAATATCACAGTTTAGGACCATTTATATATTATTAATATATATATAGGCTACAGCAAACAATATTACGATCATTTTTAAGAGAAAGTTCAAAAACAAAAAAGTTAAGGTTTAGAGCTATGCAAAATTGAACCGTCTATATCACTCTGCATAGGTAAAGCCGTTTGAAGTAATAGCATGTAGGAAAATGGCAATGTACAGGCAAAACAGCATAATGTAAACGGTATAAACAATAAGTCATGATCATGGTAACAAAGATAGTGTGCAACTACATGGCAAGACGGAGTAGAATAAAGAACAATGCAATACCAATTTGTAGTATCATTCCATATAAGACAAATATTGCTTCGTATATATACATTTTATAATAGGTAAGAAACTGCAACCCAAAGGACAAACCGATAAGCTAGCCATTCTATACAGCAAACAGTCCTTTTTAAATTTGAAAATTTAAGAGTAATGAAATAATTGTTCCCACTCTAGCTGGACTACTATGTACATAGCTCCAGAGTTTATGTCCAGGATCCACAGTGAAACCTGTGGCTTCGAATCTGAGACGTCATTGGTTTAATTAAAATAGTGGCAATCCATAAACCTAACCAAAATAAGTTGGATTATCCATCTGTTTTGAATTTAAAAACAACTCCTGAATAGGATCTTTATCTTCACTTGTGCCAGTTTCTTCGACCCTATACTATCAATCAAGTTAGAAATTTCGGAAGCTCTGAATCCTTCATGTTCATCTTTTACTGATTCTGTCTCAGAAATTGGATCAAGCTTGATCATATCCATATTACTTACAGGAGAAAATGATGAACTGCCACTAAAAGGCATATCACTAGCAAGCTTTCCCGAATATCCAGACGCTGTGTCAGAATCTGTAGCTAGTACATCATCTCCCTTAGACCAAACTGACTCTGAAAGAGAAGAAATACTTGAATTTGCATACATTCCTGATTCAGAAACGCCAGAATATATGGGATTATCATGTGAATGAATTCTACGGCTGTCTCTATTGGAGTCTGGAAATATACATTCGTAAGCAGAAGCTGGGTCTAATCCATTGCCAGCAACATTTGAAATTTTTTCTCTGGAGCATGGTAGAGACACACCCTCGCGTGGAACAGGCTCTGGTTCCTCAGGTGTGAAGATTATAGAGTCGACATCTAATGCACCTTCAACATCAGTTATAATCTTGCACTGAAATATAAAAATTTGGCTTTTAACACACACAAGTTGTTATTACACTGAAAATGTTGATGGCTATAATATCATATCAAAGCTCTCACCAGAGTCTTTATTTTTGGAAAGGGTGGTGATTACCTAACAGCGATTGAAACTTATTTCCAGTGTCTCTAATTTGTTCGGCTTACTCCACTAAATCTTCCATTGTATTGGAACTGATTGACTAGCTAGCAAATTCGACAAACCTACACCGGACATGAACATGGGGTAGGGACTATTCTAATTTATCAAGACACACATAATATCAAAATGAATGAACATCTTTGTAATTATACCAGACCTATGTCATGCAACCGCAGCAAACTCATTTAAAATGCCAGACAGGATAATTCATATACGGTAATATGTCCAGTGAATCCACTGAAAACAGTACATATGCAGTGGTGGTGCTGTTTGTTACGTGGGAACGGTGGAATGCTATATTTTGACGTTTCAGAGGTTATTACAAGTTTTCATAACAAAAAATCAGATGGGAAAGTCACCTCTTTTATAAAAGTAGTTACCTCCATACACATACTTCTGGAGCGCCTGAAATTCAGATCTTTATGTGAAATTGTTTACTTTCTTGTTTAAATCAAGATATGCAAGACAGGATTCAAATGAAGTTAACAATTGAATTGTTATACCTATTGTTGAATGCCGCAAGGATAGACTTTCATTGACTGAGAGGACAGGATATTCATCAAAGTGGAGAGGAAAGTCACCTAACACGTCTTAATCACATGGCACTACAGCCTCTCGTCCAGTTACCAGCCCATGTTAGATATGGGATAGTTAGCCAGTTATTTGCTTCAGAGGCCTGGACTTGATGGTGGAGAAAGTTAACCATTTAGTTATGTTAACCATTTAACCTTGATGAGGAGTCCGGCAATCCTCTCCCACATAATTATCAACCATAATGGCCGGTACAGAATTTTCATTTGAACTACAATAAAAATCTGTTCACAGATTAATATCAATACATTCTTAAAACATACAATAGATTTTTGGATTTTGGCCTCCCACATCTTATGCTCCTCTTCTCTATGATATATTAACTTCCATACTCCTAATGCAGCTATCACAAGAACAATGAACACAGCGATTATCAGAACAATATACTTCCAAATATACTGTGAAGGATGCACCTGTTCTTGATCGTCTGGAGCACTAAAAATTTTAAATGATAGTTCTGGGTATATCCAATATTCACAAAATCAGCAGTACACATCATTACTAATTCATATTCCCAATCCTTTAAAGGTAAAATATTTTATTCAATACATTATAATTATAAAAAAAAACATTATTGAGTTATGTAGTAAATGAGTCATGTTTCAATAATATTGGTGCATTCAAAATTGATAATCCATCTAAATCACATACCAGTAATTATTTTTATCACCAGCAGCCAGATGTAATATATGAATTCTCCCATAACCTGTTGATAAATTATCGAAGTGTGTTTGATCAATCCAGTAAGTAGTCTCTGTACTTTCAAATTTACAGTCATCTGCAGAATATATTCGTCAGTAAGTGGGAATGCATGAAATATATGACAAATGACCCAAATACTGTTATGATGAAAGTACAAACAGATTCCATGATACATGTTTTATACCCGCATTTGTTCCCAAACTGATAACATTCATTAAACAAGGTCTTAAATTGCCCTACCCCATCAGAATGAACATAAGATTTAAATTCTATCTTAACACTTTTATGCAAGCTTGAATCCCAAAAAATTGATATGAATGATCAATGCTGTGTGTAATTGGTATAGGGACTATAGGCAGTCTGAAGCGGTCGGCTCTATAAAAATTGAATTATGACAACCACCGTGACTCAATAGATCTGAACGTATAAGGGATCCTTTAATGGTATATTTAGGTATTCAACACCTTTGCTCTCAGTAGATGAGATTCTTAAGTGGGATTTGTGTGAAAATATGTATTACACGTTACACCCTTGACGCCTGGGCATATGATGACGACTCGTTCCAAGTCCCGAGATTAGTTACCTGCAACAATGACATGCTCAAAATTTGCTTCCATGGTCATTGGAATGTCAAGGGTAAGCAAGTAATTCACTACCTGCATAAGCAACAGAAATATAATTAAATTATAACCTAACCTTTGTATATTCCACGAAACTGTTTATTCAAATTGAATAAATGATTGCATTCGTTTGTGGAACAATGAATCAGGCTTTTATTGCACGTTGGTGAATAACTTCGGAGTCCAGTTGCGTTACAGGTGATATGATCTGTGACATTCGCATAACATTTGTATGAATTGTTGCACACAAAATCAGCATCAGCAAAAATACATACTTCCACATAGATACAACTTTCATCACTTGGATTCACACCATGTTTAAATTGATTACATGTTGTCATGTTCTGCATTAATGCTTTTCGACGAAGACAATCTAGTTCAACTTTATCAACATGACAATACTGTCTGTTATAATTGAGATCATCACAAGTTTCATTTACTGTTTTCAAATATGGAATAGCGAAACATATTTCCAGTATCATCAACATGCTATGAAAAACATAAAACCTTGAAGCATGCCATGTTGAGTACATTTTTCCAGTATTTTAGTCTTTACATATGCATGCTTAATTTTATCTGAAATATTTTAAACAAGTTAAAAATACATTGGTCAGTATGTTTCAAGAAGTATTACCCTCAAACATTATTCCCATTGTTGTCGTAAATTCTACGACTTCAACACTGGTAATAACCATTCCAATCAAAATGCAATTTGTTAATCCATTACATAATTAAAAAATTTAACATCTCACTTAATAAGATTATTGGATGTTTAAGTCCGCGATTTTTAACCAGTCTTACGTGAAACGACTTCAAGTACCCTGTATTTTACCAGTATCTCTGATCGGCATATTTTATATAGAAAAATAGAAATCAATTATTATTCATTTGGTTTTTAGGGGAGTATGTTACTTAACACTTTAGAATAAAATCCCCGTTTTTTTGTTACTAGCCCCCATCTTAGATATTTCTCTCTTTGATGGTTCAGCTTTTTCTGGCCTGAGCTTGACTAACTTTTATTTGTACTTTATCGCACTGTCAGACTGTGTAGCACTGAATGTGTTTGAATCTTTTTTCAACTCCAAGGTGCTAAGATGATGTTTTTTATGTCATTCCCTCTCCGTGAAAAAGAAATAGAGATAAGAATCCAAATATTTATTGGGTGGACTGTTTATTATTTAACGATTCAAAATCTTCAATTGGTTTCTCGCTACAATTTATGATATAAAAGTTATTTGCGCAAAGCTCAAAAAGCAATAAAAGTATAACAAATCAGTAAATAAGTATGGTACCGGGTACGGTACAGTACCGTACCGGTACGGTACCGGTACTTAACAATATCATCAATGTAGTTTAATGAAATATTACCCATTCCAATAAATTGTCATTACAATCAGCCCTCTTCTAATTCAGTACCGGTAATTTACACTTGATGATTGTACAAGAGGACCTACGGCACGGATCATTTTGTTATTATGGTGGTAGACCTACCGGTTGTACGGTACCGCCGTACCGGTACCGGTACTGCACTATGAATCTCCCATAGTCTACTCCCAGATGTTTTCAATATATTTTTAAACACAAAATTCAATATTAATACCCGTACCGTATTACAAATAAAATATTCTATATAAAAACAGTCGAGCGTCGCACGTTTTATACGAAAAAGGGTTTACCAATGTCTAACTACAGAACTATTCTAACATGCGTTCCCAACTCCTTGTTTTTGAGTAGGCTATACCGCCGGTCCGCTACTGAGTGACGTACAATAAATATTAAAATTTGGCAGACGTAGGGGAATTCCCTTTTTAGGATGAATTTCTGTTTACGAATACCTCCTGCTTTGGCGTTGTGTTCTGATGATTGCGATCGCCACGTCATAAGTAATCGCACGTTAGTTAGGGGCCGCCACTAAGCAAAATTGTGAGAATTGAGAAGAACACCCTCGTGCGTTCGCCATGTTTCAGCCGCGGTGGGGCTTTCTATTCTAGAGATATAGATTATAGAATATAGACGACTTGCACGGGTCACGTGACTTTGTTTACTGGATGCTGGACGGCAAAAAACAAAAACGTCCATTTGGCTCCTGTCAGTTGCAAGTCGGATTATACGTTTCCGTTTTGTTTGGCTGTTGAAAATGGTTATTTCGTATTGTTCCGTTGGCTGTACGTATAGTATAGACAACGAAATGGATCTTCAGTTATATTCCACTGTTTTCAAAAGATCCGGAACGTCGCGCAATGTGGATATCATCTATTGACAGGACGGGTTGGTGTCAAGTCCAGAAGTCATTTCGCTTGTGTTTCACTGTTTGCGGACAGCACTTCGTTGATGATGAGTGATAATGTGCCTTTATCAATTTCTCTAAATATTCATAAACTCCCTCATTTCAATGGAAAGCAGATGACAAACTACCGTTATTGGTAGGCCTAGGCTAGTCTAGGATAGTTATGTGCGAGAGAATTGCAGCTCTCCTCCCACTGAGGAGGGTCGATTACGACATCCCCCACCATCAAGTCCATGCTTCTGAAAACAAATACCTGGCTAACTAATCCCGACTCCCTGCCCCCAAGATAAATCCGATCGTAAAAACTACCCACATTGGTATGCATAGTTGCGTTTTAAATTGAAAGAAATCTTCATTAATGGTCAGAAGGTGTTGTCTGATTGTTTCGTTAGTTAGCAGGTAATCTATTACTGATCTGATACACAAACTTGAGCACTGTCAAATGATGATTAGTGTTTAATTTCTTTTCAGGAAAAAGGAAAGATAACACATTATCAGCTGCTTATAAAAGCCATCGTAGTTATTTTTGTCTATTGTGTACTTTTGGTATGTGATAAAATAAACTACTGACTGACTGACTGACATCAATATTTGAATTTTCGCTATCCCCAGAGAGGAAAAGAGTAGTTAGAAAAAGAAGGATTTTAAAGAAAAGCAAAAGGCAGGACCATTTCAACAAAGTCTGTTAAATTGTATGCGTTGCAATATCACTTTGCAGTTGTTAGCATAAACATTTAATGTGTTATTCGAATATACCTACCACACTTTAGAAGAAGCCACCTACCCATTTTCACTAGAACCATAACACTGTAAAATATCTGATAGAAATTACCCCTACGGAATCATATCTTCCATTTGAAAGGGCTGTGGAGGCAGATACATTTTTTACCCTAAATTATGGAATGTTACTTCCAGGTTATCTTATCTTTGCTTAAAGATATCTTGATGTTAGTGACTCCAACTGACCCATGCATGCCACACTGAAAATTCTTTTGTGTACCGATAAAATTAAGCAGTTGGAGCCTTCAGACCTTGAAAACAGTTGAATCTGAGCACGATGGATTCAATTGAAACACGTAATATGCGTTTATAAGCAAATAATATCCCATCCTGACTGTTACATCGAGAATCGCATTCACTTGATTTTTGTATTGACTTAAACATTGCGTCCGTTTAACTTGTGTAGTAATTTATTTGTGGCGCTCGTTTCGTTGTAATTTGTAAATAAGTTAAACTTGTTCAGCGACCTTGGCTTTCTGTTTTGACTGTAGGACGATTAAATAATGTAGATTATGGCAGCCCACACAGGCCTAGTTAAGTATATTTTATGAGCATTAAATGGCCTTTTGTGATTGTTTTTACAGTTATAATTTTATTTAATTGATTTGTTCGGATTTCATTGACGAATGATTTCATGTTCAACTTATGATAATTTAAGCCTGGAATAGCAGACAAATTCGGTATGTTATAATTTGTAACTCTTTCTGATTTGAAGGCTGCAAGTTATTCAATAGTAATATGGTTCGACTTAATAATTAACTATGTTTGATAATTGTGTTCATAAATTTGAGTAGGCTTTCTAAAGGCCGAATTGTGTATGATTATTTATTTATTGCAAGTATTTTGTATTGATTTGTTTTTACGTTTGTATTAAGATAACCGTGTCAACTGTATACTTCGAGTTGTGTGATTTTCTGGATTGAGGATACAAACTTGGGGCTTGAAAGACCGCGTTATTGAACTGTTAATAAATATCTAGTGTGCAGTCGGTGTCGTCCAGGTCGCAAAGAACGGCTGTTACATTAAAGTTATCGAATTTCCGCAAATAAAGTTATCGAATTTCCGCAAAATGAAGTTATCAAATTTATGCAAATAAAGTCATCTGATTTGCATAACAAAAGTATCGTCGAATGCCGGCAGGAGTTCGGTAAATCGTCAAAATTGAAGAAATCATCCTAGTGTTGAGCATTTAAACTTTTGTGTTGCATGTTTGATGAGCACTGTAATTGTACATTATGGATGCGCAATCTGTTTCGAAATCAAATTTAGAAGAGTTACGTGCTCGTATGAGGGAATTATATCAAGATGCTGAGAGACTTATGTCAGACTACAAAAATCGAGATTTGTTGAAATCGAAAAGTGCTGACATTGACAAACGGTTCACAGAGTATTCAAATGCGCACGAAATTCATGTGAGTACTTTACGTTCTGAAGTAGATCGGAGAAATGTCAGTGAATTTTTCCAGTGTGAACTGCGCGAGTTTCAAGAACTTAATGTGCACTTACGTGATTGGTTCAAAAAGAGTGACGCTGATGGTCATAAATCATCGACACATAGCCCTGAAGCACGTTCTGTAATTTCTGGAAAAAGTTCCCGTCGTTCATGTGCCAGTTCAAGTTCGAGTACTAAACGTACAGAAGCTATTGCCATTAGAGAACTTGCTCATGCCAATATTTGGCAGCAAGTAGAAAAAGATGCCGCAAAAAAGCGAGAACATGATGCTAAAATGGCAGCGGATAAAATGAAATTAGATGCTCAACTTGAAGCTGAAAGACTAGAGCAAGAGCGCAAAGACTTAAACATGAAGCTATGGAAAATGCTAGAAAGCAAGAGCAGGAAGCCCGAATGAAGGCTGAAAAGCTTAAACGTGACGCTGAAATAAGAGCTAGACAAATTGAAGAAGATGCTCAAAGTGGAACAAAGCGTTTGGAATTGCAGCATGCATATGAATCAGCCTGTATAGCAGCCGATGTATGGGAAAATGCTTCTCAGGGAGGCGAAGGTATGTCATTATATGAAAATATGTCTCGTTCACATTCACCTAATCAAATCCAAGAGTTGAATGAAATAGTGGTTCCAGTGTTAAAGCCTCCTGATGTGAGAACTAAATTGCCAGCATCAGATTTGTTATCACAATCTCGAGTCAGAATGGAAAATCCTGTACTAAATGTTAGAAGACCTGCTTCTACTGATAATGTGCGAGATGCTGTGAATGTGAATATTCCTGATCAGTATGAATCAGCGAACCGACCTCCGTACACAGAACCACACATACCACAACAAAGAAACACGTATGATCAATCGTCACCGAATGTGGAAAGTTTATTGGGCAATATGGCATCTATGTTGCAAGACGGAATTGATAGACCTCGACCTGAATTATTGCATTTTAGTGGAATAGAGACTGAATATGTCCGGTTTATCACTAACTTCAACTTAAATATTGATAGAAGAGTACATGATACAAGTACAAAGTTGTCATATTTGATACAATACTGTGAAGGTGATGCAAGGGAATTGATTATGCACTGTACTATGTTGCCACCCGATGAAGGTTTTAAAGAGGCATGCGATTTGCTCAGAAAGACATACGGTCGACCAATGCTTGTGGCTAGAAAATATTCGGAAAAGTTGACTAAAGGACCATGGTTGAAACCTGGAGATAACGAAGGTTTGTTACGTCTTTCTCAAACATTAGAAGAATGTTTAGTCACTTTGACACATTTGAAATATTTTGGGGATTTGGATAATTTTGATACTATTTTGTCCATCGTATTACGACTTTCTCTCAAGTTGCAGAACAACTGGGAAGAATCAGTGGCAGAATTAGATGGACAAGATAGAGAAGTGAGATTTAAAGATCTTGTTCGATTTATGAAGAAAAAGGCTGCGGCTGCAAATACGCCTTATGGAAAAGCCTTGAGAGCTCGAAGGGAGCAAGAACAGCAATATCGTTTACGATTGCAATCATCGAATAGGCGAAAGTTTCACGCTCATTCTACTGCTGTGAATTCAGCTGTTGACAGCAGTGTTACCAGTGCAAAACATATTGAAAAGGGAAGAGATGTCTGTCCTGACTGTTTAAAGACGTCACACAAACTTGTTGACTGTTACAAATTCCTGCAGAAGTCACACGGTGACCGCTTGAAATTGTCGTAAGCCACCTGCTTGTACTGTTGACGGGTGTAGGTTGAAACATACCCAGACAGAAAATGCTGCTGGTATGCATGAGTCAAAAGTTGAAGCATATGCGACTTCAAAAAGCTCAGCAGGATGTTTTTTGAATATTGTACCTGTCAAGATCTGTGCCAACAGAAGAGAAATAGAAACGTATGCATTTCTAGATGAAGGCTCTACTGCTTGCTTATGCGATGAGCGACTTCTAGATCTATTGAAGTTGAGAGGCAAGAAAACTCAGTTTTCGTTGACAACTGTGAATGCGGTACAAACATCACAAGATGGTTATGCGGTTGATTTTACTGTAAAATCACTTGATGGTAGAGAAAGTGTTGATTTATCTCATGTGCTAACTGTTGATAGACTGCCTGTTAAAGCTAATGAAGCACAATTTGATGTACAAAGTTATGCACATTTGAAGGGATTGAAGATTCCTACTCTGCCGTGTAAAGACGTGATGTTGATGATTGGGGTAAACGTCCCTAAAGTGTTTTGGCCAATGGATGAGAGACGAGGGAAACACAATGAACCTTCGGCAAAGAAATCCATTTTAGGATGGTCATTGGTTGGACCAGCTTTATCTTACGAGAGAAACAGTGATGTTCACATTCATTGCGTTCAGGTGCAGGAGAAGGACTTGCTGAGTCAGCAAATCAAATGTTTGTGGGAAAGTGATTTTAAAGATGCTTCACTGTCGCCTATTCCATCAATGTCTAAGGAAGACAAATACGCATTGCAATTGATGGAAGATTCAGTTGAGATCGTGGACGGACATTATCAGTTACCATTGCCATGGAAGCCAGGATGTCCTGATTTGCCAGACAATCGAAGTGTTGCGATGAAACGCTTAAAGTACATTGAACGAAAATTGAAGAGTGATCCTGTTTTGAAAAAGAAGTACTGTGATACTATGGAGAAATATATTAGTCTTGGATTTGCAAAACGTATCCCGAATGAATATAAAGTTGGCCGTAAGGTGCAGTTTGGTACTTGCCTCATCACCCTGTGTTTTCTGAACAAAAGCCAGGCAAGGAACGCGTTGTCTTTGACGCTGCATCACGTTGTATGAATACTTCCTTGAATGACCAACTATTGAGAGGCCCGGATTCGGCAAATTCTCTACTTGGAACACTTCTCGCTTTAGACAACACGAAAATAGCTATTGTGGCTGACATCGAAGCAATGTTCTATCAGGTGAAAGTGCACCCGAAGGATTGGAATGTATTGCGATTTATGTGGTGGCCTGGAGGTGATTTGTCAACAGGATCCATCAGATATTTTATGGTCAGGCACATATTGGTAGCGTCTCATCTCCATTTTGTGCTAATTGGAGTCTGAGAAGACAGCTCAAGATCACCAAGATGAATTGACGAAAATGTCAAAGGAGTTGAAGCGAAATTTTTATGTTGATGATTACCTGAATGGCTCATCTTACTGTAGACCAGGGAATTCATATTGTTCGACAAACGAATAAATTGCTGGAAAAAAAGGATTTCATCTAGCAAAGTGAAAAAGTTTCCAATCCTGAAGTTCTGTCAGAGATTCCTGCTAAAGACAGAGCAGACACGCGTCAAGTGTAAACTTAATACCTGAAAAGATCGATCGAGTACTCGGAATAAAGTGGAATATCCAAGAAGATTGTTTTGGATTTGATGTTAATGTGAAATCAAAACCCGCAACAAAACGAGGGATTTTTGTCTGTACTCAGTTCGATATTTTGACCCGTGGGAATAGTGGCACCTGTAATACTAAAGGCGAGGATATTGATTGCAGCAGTTATGTCGAAATAATTATGGATGGGACGATGAAATATCGATAGTGAAAATTTATTGTGGAACAGATGGCTCGAAGATATTCCTGACTTGAGAATATATTCATGCAAAGATGTTTGCGCCGTCTGGGTTTTGGCAATATTGTGACTCGTCAAATACACCATTTTGCAGATGGCTCTGCAGTTGCCTTATGGAACTGTATACGTATTTGCGACTAATCAATGAAGATGGGAAATTTATGTTGCCTTTCTCTTAGGAAAAGCTCGACTTGCATCCATTAAAACTTGTTTCAATACCACGACTGGAGTTGACTGCTGCAGCTCTTGCCAGTTAAATTAGATTTATTTCTGAGACGTGAATTAGACTTCGAAGAAATAGAGTCGATGTTTGGACAGACTCAACTTCCGTGCTTTTGAAGTATTAATAATACATCACGAAGATTTCCAACATTTGTGGCAAATCGACTCGCAAAGATTGAAGATGGATCGAATGCTTTGCAGTGGAGATATGTACCTACAAATTTGAATCCCGCAGATGATGCATCCAGAGGATTGTCGGTACAATCGTTGATGGATGAACGATGGCTGAAGGGACCATCATTTCTCCAAGAGCAAGAGGAACATTGGCCTAAACCGCCAGTACAGTTACCTGAGCTTCCTGATGAATTTGTGAGATGCAAGATACAATCCCAGAAGCCACAAGTTGTTGCAAATTATGTTTCTGATTCTGCTTTGAAGCCGATGGATAAATTCATTTCACATTTCTCAACATGGTATAAATTGAAAAAGGCAAGTGCATGGATGATTCGATTCAAAGAACCTTCATAAGAAGAAGAATATAAGTGCAATGAGAAACTTGAAGTTGAAGAATTGCGAGTTGCTGGAGACGACATTTTGAAATACATACAGAGACAAGAATTTGGCGAAGTTATTGATGCATTGCAGAAAGCCAATCATAGAAGTACATCTGGGAAACAAGTACTGAAGAGATTGAAGATTGCAAATTTCCTGCATAAACTCAATCCGATTATGAAAGATGGCTTCATCAGAGTTGGTGGGAGATTGAGAAATGCACCGGTTGATTTCGATGTTAAACATCCGATTATACTTCCACATAAACATCATGTAACTGAGATGATTATAAGAGAACATCATGTATCTACACATCATTCTGGTATGGGGAGTACATGGACTTCTCTGAGACAACGATTTTGGATCGTTAAAAGAGGCGCTATGGTGAAATCTGTTATCAGAAAATGCATGTTTTGTCGAAGAAGAAGTTCACCTGTGAGTAAACAGATCATGGCCGATCTTCCGAAGGAAAGAGTCACACCAGGTGAAAGACCATTTGCCTATGTTGGAGTGGACTACTTCGGACATTTTCTTGTAAAGCAAGGACGAAGTACTGTCAAGAGGTGATAGTGAAAATTTATTGTGGAACAGATGGCTCGAAGATATTCCTGAACTTGAGAATATATTCATGCAAAGATGTTTTGCGCCGTCTGATTTTGGCAATATTGTGACTCGTCAAATACACCATTTTGCAGATGGCTCTGCAGTTGCTTATGGAACTGTATCGTATTTGCGACTAATCAATGAAGATGGGAAAATTCATGTTGCCTTTCTCTTAGGAAAAGCTCGACTTGCACCCATTAAAACTGTTTCAATACCACGACTGGAGTTGACTGCTGCAGCTCTTGCAGTCAAATTAGATTTATTTCTGAGACGTGAATTAGACTTCGAAGAAATAGAGTGACGAAGTACTGTCAAGAGGTGGGGCTGTATATTTACATGCATGACAACTCGTGCCGTACACTTGGAAGTTGCATACTCGATGGATGCAGATTCATTCATAAATGCGTTAAGAAGATTTATTGCACGTAGAAGTAGACCATTCAAGTTCATCTGTGACAACGGTAGTAACTTCGTTGCAGCAAATAAAATCCTACGTAAAGAAATAGAAGTTTGGAATTCAAGCAAAGTTAGACAATTTTTGCGTCAGGAGAATATTAAATTTAAATTCAATCTTCTGCTTCTAATTTTGGAGGATGTTACGAAAGATTAATTCGATCAGTTCGAAAGATTTTGGTTGCTCTCTTACACAATCAGTTGGTGTCAGATGAAGCTTTGGCTACAATTTTTTGTGAAGTGGAATCACAGTTGAATTCCAGACCCATCACTCCAATAAGTTTTGATCCGAAAGATGATGAGCCACTCACTCCAAATCACTTGCTATTACTGAATCCTGCAAGTAATTTACCTCCTGGCATATTCGAAAAAAAAGGATTGTTACACTCGACGAAGATGGCGACAAATTCAGTATTTAGCTGATCAGTTTTGGATCAGATGGACCGAAGAATACTTACCCACACTTTAGACATGACAGAAATGAACCTCTAAAGAACGTAATATGGAAGTTGGTGATATTGTGCTACTTGTAGACAGTACCCAGAGAGAAGTGGCAGACTGGACGTGTTATGGAAACTACATCTGATAAACTTGGAGCTGTGCGTCAAGTTACTGTGAAGACATCCAGGGGTTTATTGAGAAGGCCAATTGCAAAGTTGTGCTTGATTCATAGAGTTAATGAGTAAAATGTTTTCAAGTGTGTGATATCCTCGATATAAGAAATTTGTGAGTAAGATGTTTTCACTGGGTTCCAACATCTGGTTGGGGGAATGTTACATCGAGAATCGCATTCACTTGATTTTTGTATTGACTTAAACATTGCGTCCGTTTAATTTAATTTTTAGTAATTTATTTGTTATTGTTGACGCCGTAATTTCCCTTGATTGACAGTGTGCTTCTACACACTTTGTTACGAAACAATTGAGAGAGTCTTCGTGGCAATTGCTTGCCCAGACATGTCTCGCTTAGACAGGGATAGTTTCGGTAGTTTGTTTTAGATAGCGCTTTACTTTTGCAGAGAATGGCGCTCGTTTCGTTGTAATTTGTAAATAAGTTAAACTTGTTCAGCGACCTTGGCTTTCTGTTTTGACTGTAGGACGATTAAATAATGTAGATTATGGCTGCCCACATAGGCCTAGTTAAGGATATTTTATGAGCATTAAATGGCCTTTTGTGATTGTTTTTACGTTATAGTTTTATTTAATTGATTTGTTCGGATTTCATTGACGAATGATTTCATGTTCAACTTATGATAATTTAAGCCTGGAATAGCAGACAAATTCGGTATGTTATAATTTGTAACTCTTTCTGATTTGAAGGCTGCAAGTTATTCAATAGTAATATGGTTCGACTTAATAATTAACTATGTTTGATAATTGTGTTCATAAATTTGAGTAGGCTTTCTGAAGGCCGAATTGTGTATGATTATTTATATATTGCAAGTATTTTGTATTGATTTGTTTTTACGTTTGTATTAAGATAACCGTGTCAACTGTATACTAGTTGTGTGATTTTCTGGATTGAGGATACAAACTTGGGGCTTGAAAGACCGCGTTATTGAACTGCTAATAAATATCTAGTGTGCAGTCGGTGTCGTCCAGGCCGCAAAGAACGGCTGTTACACTGACCAGCACCGATCCACAACCTCTTGCCTATGGAATCAAAACATTAGACAAATTGGTGTACTGTGCGCATTCACAAATCTTCGCGAATCAAGTGTGCCTTTTGACTAAGGAAAATTTAGCATTGAAATGGTCAATCTCAATATAAACCTGGTATCTGCAGATAAAACCAATTTTTTGATGTGCTTTTTTTTTAAAGATAATTTATAATTACTGTAAAATGTGTGATACATTTGGTACCATGAATACCATTTGCAAATTAGCTTGGGTTACACTCTTTCCAATAAAAGTTTAGACTCTTTCAAGTCATATCTCATATTATTCTTTAAACAAAAGGTTGCGGCTAGCCGGCTACCCATCATAATTTTCTTTCAGATCACAAAGTCGCAATATTACCCCTCGCTAAATTTCATTGGCAAGTGTATTTGGTTGTAGTATCGGTGTCCCAACTTTAGACTGAAACCTTCACTACCAGACCCACCGAAACAAAAAAAAATTCTTGATAGGGTCGTATTGAAGTTGCTTTCGTTTAAGCACAATGGACACTTTATCTCCACCAATCCACAGTAATCACAAGTTACTTTGTCATTACGATAAGCATCAATAAATGGATACCGAGGATGTATTATCAAGTCACGCAAGCTGAGGTCTTGTGCTACTGTGGTCTTGTTGCAACTTGTACTTTGCCATCCATTTATTCCATGGTAGTAGTTGTTATATATCATGTTGAGCTTACTATCATAGCTTGTTTACTACTCTATCTGCTTGTGTGCTATATTGTTACGTCACAATGCTGTCTAGTGCCGTAAGTTGTTTTTCCTCTGTTTAGAGGTCTTTTGTTCTGAACTAAGTTGGCGGACGGATGTCCAAATAAATCGCGTGCAGTTTTGTAATGAGTCTGTATTCATTACTTGTTATAAAGATATAACAAATTGGCGACGAGGATTAAAAAGCCTTTTTGTGCCGTTTTGTAGCCATTTCTTGGGGAAGGAAGGAAAATATATCGAAGTTACAGCTTAATTTCGAGGATAGATAAGAGAACAGTCGCTGGACTGCGACGGAGTTAGAACTGATTATTGCAGCATAATCAGTGACTTTGGATATTCATAGTGAACAGCATTCACTGGACTGGGAACCCAAGGCCTGTTATTATATTGAATTAAACGGCAGTAAATTATTTGAGCATCGTTGAAGCACGATTGCAACTGTTAACAGAATAATGACGTCAGCATCATTGGAAGTTGCGCAATTCAACATTAATCGCCCAGACGAATGGCAACAATGGCTGCGACGATTTGAAAACATGTGCCTCGCCATGTCGGTTGACAACGCAGAGAGAAAGAAAGCGTTATTATTACATTTTGCGGGACCTGAAGTTTTTGACCTGTATGAGAATTTGCCCGCACCGCCGAATGCAGATGAAAATGATAATGTTTATGCCAACACCGTTAAGAAATTGGATAATTATTTCGTGCCAAAGATAAACATTGATTTTGAATGTGATGTTTTCAGGAATGCAAAACAGAAATTTGGCGAAAATATTGATACTTCACGTTTGCGTAAATTAGCTGTTACCTGTGATTTTACGGATGCTGATCATGAAATAAAACAGCAAGTTATTTCTGGTGGATGTGATTCTAGAGTTAGGGAAAAAGCTCTACAGCAGCGTATGTCTCTTCGAGAACTTCTGGATTATGCAAAAAGTATAGGACAAGCAAAGCAACAAACAAAACAAATTGAACAACGTCACACGAGACCAGAGAAATTATATGAAATTGATGTGCAGCGTGAAAAGAATTCCGATAGCAAATCCAAGCCTAGAGCACCACAGCTTTCTTCGGCTAGAGGGGGTAAGTCTCTTAGATGTTTTCGCTGCGATAGTTCTAAGCACTTTGCCCGTGAATGTCCATTTAAAGATGCCAAGTGTTTTTGTTGTGGTAAAAAGGGCCATACCAAGAGTGTGTGTCGATTCAAGAAATCAAGTCAGTATAGACACGGCCAGAGAAGTAAGCAATGTAATTCTCAATGTTGTATCGCTGGTGATAAGAATACGCCGGGCGAAAGTGAAACGAATGAAAACTCTGGTTCATCATACGAATTACATCATACAGTGTCGTCCGTGCAAAATAACAATGTGGGTGTGAAATGCAATCCAATCTATCTTGATCTTGACATCGATGGCAAAAACATTTCTTGGGAAGTAGATACAGGGGCTACACTATCTGTCATGTCTTTAGTGCAATATAAAAAGTTGTGGCCAAAAGCAGAATTGAACCACACCGATGTTAAACTGTCTACATACACGGGGGAGTCTATTCCAGTAGAGGGAGAAAGGGATGTTACTGTAACGTATCAAAATGGTAACCCAATGGTCATAGGCGTAGCCAGGGGGGGGGGGGGGGGGCCAGAGGGGCCATGGCCCCCCCAAAAATTTTCAAGAATTCCATTCCTAATCCACCAGTTTTGTGGCATCTTGTCTCGTCACGCTTGTTGATTGTCATTGTTACGTCACAAAGACTTGACCGTTCGCTCTTATGAGCAGTATGGGAAAGACTGTTTCGCAAGCTTTCGGTCAGTTGCTCGGTCTTGATTTGTTCTCGCCGGATTTTTATTCGAAACGCTTGGATTTTGATGACCAAATTACTTCGATGGCTAAATTTAAACAGGCGAAATTCGATAGTTTTTTTCAGCGAAATAAAGACTCGCTTTCCTCAAATACATCAATAAGCGCTTCTCAGGCTGTGGATGCACCGGTTACGTCAGTTACGTCTATCACTTCTATTCCCGAAGATGAACTAATAATCAACGAAGGGAAAACAAACGATCTTGGATTTATTCTTAAGAAACATACACAGCTTACCGATGCGGAGAGATACAGGCTTCTAACTTCGGATGGTCCGAAAAACGTGACGATTCTGGATACTGTTAGACAAAGTCGTCGTAAATTTCTCAAAAAATGGCTTGACGATAACAGATTTTGCAGTTGGTTAGTTTACACCCAACTCTCTGATGGGGGTGGTTTGTGTAAGATATGCATAGTCATGCAAGCACGTTTGAAGCATGGAACTCTCAGGGACACTGCCTTTGTTACAAGACCATGCATTGACTACAAAAAATTTATGGAAAAGGCTGTAGCACATCGAGACACAAATTACCACCGAGAATCAAATATAGCTGCGAAAAATTTTGTCAAAAGCATGGAAACTGGTCAAAATGTGCGTGCAAACATGGAGGCCCAATATGCTACGCAAACAAAAGAAAACAGACGAATAATGACTTCCATTGTCAAGACTGTCATGTTCTGTGCTTCGGGTAACATACCCTTGCGCGGACATTCCGGGGATAGTGGAAATTTTGTGAACCTTCTTCTATTTCGTATCGACGCAGGGGATGAAGATTTGAAAAGGCATTTCGCTCGAATGGCCGGAAACGCTAAGTATACAAGCCCGATGATACAAAATGAAATTCTCAAGGTAGCAAGCAACATGATAGTGCAAGATATCGTTATGGAGGCTAATAAATCGTTTTGTGTCCGTAATAGCCGACGAATCATGTGATATTTCTGGGAAAGAAACAACTAAGCATCGTTTTGAGGTATTGTGAAAGGTGGTGAAGTGTGCGAGCGCTTCAAGGATTAGTGGAAATGGATTCTGTTCTGCCGAATCAATTTCCTCAAATATTTTGACCCACCTCTCCTGGATATAGGAGTGGATTTGGCAAAACTTGGTGGGGCAGGCTATGATGGTGCCAACGACAATGGAGGTCACGTCAGCGGTGTGCAAGAAACGCATTCCGTGATAAATACCCCGCGCGCATATTTGTGCCACTGGCGCTTCTCATTGTTTGAATTTTGGTCATAAATGACCAGAGTAAAGTGCAATCCATCAGAAGCACCATGTGATATCATTCGTGAGACTATTCCGGTTTTTTTTCATGGGCAGAGCCCTAAAAGGCGCGCGGGTTAGGGAAGTTAACATCCCTTGTTCTGCACCACCAGATAGTCTGAAAGTAACAAAGAGCATCCGAATCTTCAAATGCAACTTCAAACGAGTACTTGAGCTCTTGATTCTTTGGCGAGAGATGCTAACAGTGAGACGCGGGCGAAGGCTTTTTCTCTGAAATCTGCTCTAGAAAAGTCGTCGGTTATCTACGCCGTATGTTTGATTGGTTGATATTCGGCACTAATGGAGCCACTAGCGCGCGCACTTCATGCGATCGGAGTCAGTGGCCGTCGTAAAGAACCTCACATCCTCTCTTCAGAGCGTTATCGCTGAGAACGCAATGACTCTGAAATCGCTTGAATATTTACAAAGAAGCTTGTGAAATAGCTGGCTTGAAAGAGTTGACAATACCCAGAGTAGTCGAAGTACAAGTGTATCGCGACAATGCTGTGCTGATTCAGTCATCCCAGTATTTTAAACGTTCCGTAATCTCCCATACGTCGACTTGGCTTGAGCTGCTCTATTCGGGGAACGGCTTCATTGACAACCCATCATTTTTTCATTGCTATCAATTTCTTCCACCGAACAAACCAGTTCACGTGGATGAGGTAGAGCATCTGTATTTATTGGATAACCTCCAGAATGAGTGAGACTTGTTGAGAACTTTCTTTAAGTTCCGACGTTAACGACGAATGTTTGGAGGGGCTTCTTTTGAGCGCTCGAGATTATCCAAGCGTGTACACCGCAATACAGATCGTTATGACGCTACCAGCAACCACCGTTGAGGCTGAGCGGTCTTTCTCCTGCATGAAACGGGTAAAGACATGGCTGCGCTCATCAATGACGTCCAATCGCCTTTCTGATTTGTGTGTGCTTCACTGTCACCGTGAAATGGTCACCGAGGAGAAAATTAATCGAGTTGTGTCGAGCATAGTTAGCGGGAAGCGAAGGATGGACTTTTAATCGGGGCGATGTATTTTACTTATTTAAATTGCGTTGTTAATATTTGTTGTTTCAAATAAAAAATTGTTTATAATGGATTTTGTATTCACAAAAATCCAGCTGAGTAATTGAATCAGTTTGCTTGTTGACCAACTGTTGTTGTTTTGCGCTTGAATAACGGGTGTTTTAAACCCAATATAATTTCTAAAATTTTCAAATTTGGCCCCCCCCAAAATTTTGGGCTGGCTACGCCACTGCCAATGGTATTGCCAATCACTGTGGTAAGAAATAGTAACCGCTGTAAACCATTGCTGGGGAGAAATTGGTTGAAACGTATCAAACTTGATTGGAATTCAATTTTCAAAATTAACTATTCTGATGTTAAAATCAGTACACTGCTTGATAAGTATCCTGAATTGTCTTCACCTGGATTAGGTTGTGCAAAAACTGAAGCTAAATTGGAGATTGATGACAGCGTTAAGCCTAAATTTTATAAACAACGACCTGTACCTCTTGCACTCAAAGAATTGGTCGAAGCTGAACTTGATAGACAAGTTGAAATCGGTGTTTTGAAGCCATGTAAAACATCCGATTGGGCTGCACCTATGGTTACCGTATTAAAAGCTGATCAGAAGTCAGTTCGGCTCTGTGGAAGTTATGACTTGACTGTAAATAAAGCAAGTCGTCTTGAGCAGTATCCATTGCCAAAGGTGGATGAATTATTGGCTAAATTTGCTGGTGGGGAAAAATTCTCTGTTATTGATCTGAAAGAGGCATATCTGCAGATACCATTGGCAGAAGAGAGTCAAAAGTACACAGTAGTTAATACACATAAGGGATTATTCACGACAAATCGTCTTGTTTATGGAATATCAAGTGCCCCAGCTATATTCCAGAGATATCTTGAAACACTGCTGGGTGACATAGCAGGTGTAGGTGTTTTCCAAGACGATATTGGAGTAACCGGTTCTTCTGATAAAGACACATAGCCAGATTGGAAGAAGTTTCAAGCGTCTTACAAATGAAGGTCTAAAAATTAATCCAAACAAATGTAAATGGATGGTTTCAGAAATTACTTATCTTGGATATCGTATAAATAAACTTGGAGTTCAACCAACTGAAGATAATCTGAGAGCTGTTCTGAATGCCCCAGAACCACAAAATATACATCAGATGCGCTCATATCTGGGGATGCTTAATTATTATGGTAAATTCATTAAAAATTTATCAACTGTTGCTGCTCCTTTGTATGAACTTCTTCGTTCGAATGTTCGATGGCACTGGAATAAAAGGCAAGTGGAAGCTTTTAAGAAAACGAAATCGCTATTATGTAATGCTCCATGCCTTGCTCATTTTGACGTAAATGCCGCCGTCATTGTTTCTGCAGATGCCAGTCCTTCTGGAATCGGAGCAGTTTTATCTGTAATAACGCAGGAAGGAGAACGTCCTGTGGCTTTTGCATCCAGATCTTTGTCAAAACCAGAGCGTAATTATAGCCAATTGGATAGAGAGGGATTAGCTCTAGTATTCGCTGTTACAAAGTTCCATTCATTTTTATATGGAAGACCGTTTGTTATGGAAACTGATCACAAGCCACTTCTCGGTTTACTTGGGAAGAATAAGCCACTTCCTGATGCAGCTCCACCGAGAATGATCCGTTGGAAAGTATTACTTGATGGATATCAATACGAATTAGTGTATGTTCCAGGTAAAAACCAAGCCAATAGCGATGCACTAAGTCGTTTGCCTTTGCCTGTTAAACCGGATTATATACCGCCTTGTGGTGATGTAGTGAATCTTCTTGAAGCAGTCGATTCTACCCTTGTTAAAGTTGATGCAATTCAGTCTTGGACGAGAAGAGATCCTGTACTGTCCGCAGTTATGCATCATACTCAAATGGGCTGGCCAAAATCTTCTGACATAGACCCAGAATTACAAATTTATAGAAGCAAAGAGACGGAACTAAGTGTCCATGAAAATTGTTTATTTTGGGGTTGTCGAGTAATTATTCCGCCACAAGGAAGACAGAAAGTGTTGCAATTACTTCACGATGGTCATCCTAGTATTTGTTCTATGAAAAGAATTGCTCGTAATCATGTATGGTGGCCTGGGGTTGATGCTGATATTGAAGAGTTGGTGAAATCTTGCAGTTTGTGTCAACAGTTACGTCCCAGTGCACCTCAAGTTCCTGCTAGCCCATGGTCTTATCCTCATGGTCCATGGCAAAAAATACATATGGACTATGCCGGTCCAGTTGATGGGAAAATGCTTCTTGTTATTGTTGATGCGTTTAGCAAATGGCCAGATGTGTGGATTACATCGTCAGTTTCTGCTCATGAAACTATTGAAAAAGTCAGACTTTCATTTGCTACACACGGATTACCACTAGTTGTAGTCACAGACAACGCTGGTTGTTTTGCAGGAGAATTTGCAACATTTCTAAAGGCAAATGGAGTGAAGCACTTGTTTTCACCACCGAGACATCCGGCTTCTAATGGCCAAGCTGAATCAATGGTAAAACAAGTTAAACTTGGATTGAAGAAACAAGCACCAGCATCTTTGTCAGTCAGACTTGTTCGGTGGTTATTTAAATACCGAACTACACCACATACAACGACTGGTCAGACTCCGTCGGAATTACTTTTTCGTCGTAAGATTAGAACGCATCTTGATCTAATCGCACCTTCATCACGTTTGAAGAAGTCAGCAGAGAATGTTCCAAGTGGAATAATAAGAACTTTTCACATTGATGACCCAGTTTTTATTACAGAAGTCGTTGGATCTCGTTTCAAATGGTTACCTGCCACAGTAACTGAAGTTATGGGTCAAATGTGTCGTGTTCGTTTGAACGATGGAAAAATTTTTAGACGTCATCTTGATCATATTCGACATCGATTTTCTGCTGATGATGTAATGGTACGTGAAGGGAATCAAGATTTTAGAATGAGTGAGAGAATACCAGCTGCAATTCCAACAGGAATACCTGATGTTGATGTGGGAGATAGAAATTCAACTCCCACCTCTACTGCTACTGAAGAGACTGATGAATCTCAAATTGACAGAGACAATGTAGACCCAGTTCCTAATTTTCCAGAATCGTCCAGTAATTCAAACATACCTTATAAAACAAGATCTGGCAGAATATCAAAACCGCCAGAAAAACTATCTCTATAAGAAGTTTTATAATTTTGTACTGGACAGAATTATAGTTGTAAAAGTTTCTTTGAATTTCTTAGTTTCTTTGTGAAATTCTGTACGTTGCTTGTATATTTGTTTTTGCAATATTTTATACCATTTGATTGGGAATGTTGGAATTCGGGTAATTGTGTTGTACATTTATTTTTAATATTTGGTTCTTGAATTTGTACAATAATTCCAAAAAGGGGGGAAGGAGTGTTATATATTATGTTGAGCTTACTATCATAGCTTGTTTACTACTCTATCTGCTTGTGTGCTATATTGTTACGTCACAATGCTGTCTAGTGCCGTAAGTTGTTTTTCCTCTGTTTAGAGGTCTTTTGTTCTGAACTAAGTTGACGGACGGATGTCCAAATAAATCGCGTGCAGTTTTGTAATGAGTCTGTATTCATTACTTGTTATAAAGATATAACAGTAGTATATATTTACGGTTAGACAACCCCTGTGTAACTCCGGATATTTGGTCCCGATGTTGGATTTGCCGTCACGCCCGACTAGGTTCAGGCATATTATTGCTTCGAAAATCAACGCGCGACGTTCTGCATTTATATAGGGACGTGTAAAAAGAGAAATAAGCAAATTTGGCATACTAAAATATGTGAAATTGAAATTTATAGGGACGTGTAAGAAGAGAAAAAAGCAAATATGGCATACTAAAAATATGCAAATTTGAAATTCATAGGGACGTGTAAAAAGAGAAATAAGCAAAAATGGCTCCCAGGCTCTGCTGAAATTTCGGAATACAAGTGTCAAATTTGACATGGATGGATATAAGCTAGATTAAATTTATGCCTTACAAAGTTGGTAGGAATTAGCAGGATAAAAGTAAAAAGTAAGGGCAGATGCTTTCAATTCTGTAAAATATTTTTTATGGGTGAGCCCATCAAAAATTGAAAATCGCCGAAGGTACAAGTGAGAAGGACCGCGGCCTGCAGAAAAAGTTCTTCACAGCTAGTGATGATTAAATTTCTTTCTTGTATTGATTTTATAACAGTGTTATTTTGAAGTATTATTTACAGTCGCTCTGACTTTTGCATGGGGACTTTCAGCTTTTTCCTGACAGTCTCCAGTTGTTATATTTCTGTTCACAAATCTTAACTTCATTTGGATTATCAGCTTCAACGGTGAAGTACGACAAGCTTGGGGCTTGCGTGAAGTGGTGAACTGAAATGTAAAACGATACAGATGTTTAAAAGGCTTTCAAACATAATGCAAAAGGTATTAGGTAGTGAAAAGTAATGCCGTAATATATGGCAATATTATGGGTTACTGATGAAACTTCAACGTGCAAAATGACTAAACCAGTGGTTCTCAACCTCTATGTGCTTGGGGACCCGCAAAAGTTTCAAACCGGAAAAAAAAATATAATAACATAGCATAATGCTATTCAGACGACATTTAAATTAGCTGCCACTGCCACTCAACAAAAAAACGTATATGTACTGATTTATCTCATATAATCTTGCACAACAAGTTTGTTCCTTGTTTTCGTCTATATTTGAACAAGTGTAGAAAACCCATGTCCACATATGTAAGTTGAGACGAAAGGGATAATGATTTTCAATGCAGTGGCGTTATGCTCACAACTACTTGTTTTTATGCGATATAATCATGAATATGATATTAAAAAACTGAAATGTTTTGATACGGAAAGCCTGAATTAGAATACGTCTTTGTCGTATTTTCTCTGTTTAAGTAAAAGTAATAGCCTTCTAGCGACAATAACAATCTTTTCTTCTGAAAATTTCGAATCATTTGATTCTGTAGGCTTCATAAACGGAAGAGCGATTACTACACAACAAGAAGAAGAAAATGCAAAATGACAATGTTAGCCTATAACACCAAAACTAAAGAACCATCTAATAATTCGAATTTGGAAGTAAAATGGCTTACTAGGTTCAGATTAATTGCTAGATGGCTTACTGGTATTTCGCTTTTACATGGATGAATGTTGTATCTCTGGTAAAAGTTATTTTTTATATTAGGTGTCATGGTACCACCGGTATCTATACCGAATCAAATTAATAAATTCTACTTGTTTTTTTCACAAGCTAGACCAAATACCGGTGGTGCTTACCTGACTTCCAAAACTTGATTTTTCGACTTATGTGCATACACGTTTTGTGTTATCCGTTTCCAAGTTAATGGCCAACCTACTCCTTGCATCCGCAAGCAGAAAGTCGCGCTTACCAAGATGGCCGCCGCGACCTTCAATTAAGCACAACATTTTTGCTCCCATGCGCATTCTAGGTATATACACCTCAATGGGTAAGACCGATGATTGATTGACCGAGGCTGATTTTTATAAATAGGAATGAGAAAGTCCCAGCATTCAGATACAAGTCTTCTTGAGAAAGGTGGTTTGTATTTCAACCAAATGATCCATGTACAATTAGACAGCAACTATGATGACTGTTGTACAAGCTCGAGCATGGAGGGGTGTAATTATGGATATTCAAATCGTGAACAACTGAAAAAATGTGATGTACTTTTACAACATAAGTCTGCCATTATTAATAATCACAGCTAGAACCAATCTTACCTTATACCATTTGCAAAAGTAAATAGGATAACTTTTATTCACTTTGGCATAGTTTTTGAGCTGATACCGGTAGCACCGACACCGGCAGACCTGAATTCATAAGCAACCATACCTCCCATTTCACCACGTTATTTTACTCAAATGACATAATGCCTCAGAATACATTTCGTTTTTTAAATAGTATATTTTATTTCCAGCTACGAAAAATCGTGACATTCCAGTATTCATAAGAAACATTGCATTGAGTGA